TGCATTCTTTGCTGGAAGCCGTTGGAAGTTAGGAAATAGGAATCACTGCCTTTTTACCGATGACACTTGTATAGTAGAGGGTACTTTAGCACATGTTCATATTATAGTTTGAGGACAGAATAATATCTTTAAGAGTAGTTGTTGAAAAAGATACTATCAATATTATTAGTGCCTATGCATCTCAGGTTCGGGCAAAGGCACACCTTAAAGATAAGTTTTGGAAAGATATAGAGGGGTTGGTTCAAAGCACACCACTTGAAGAAAAAAAATTTATCGGTGGGAATCTTAATGAATATGTCGGTAAGAAAGCAGGACAATTTGGTGGGCTCATGACGGTTTTGGTTTTGGGGAGCTTAATAATGGAGGACAATCTATTCTTGACTTTTTTCTTGCATACAATCTCAAGATTGTCAACACTTGTTTTAAGAGAAGCGAGAGGAGCATTTAATCACGTACAAGAGTAGTGCCTCAACATCACAGATTTATTTCTTTTTGGTTAAATATCCGGATAGAAGATTATGTACTAATTGCAAAGTGATTCCTGGAGATGGGATGACTGCCCAACATAGAGTACTTATCCATGATTTACATTTTAAGAGTTTCAGACACAAGTATCATCAAGTGGTAAAACCCAGGGTTAAGTGGTGGCAGTTAAAAGGTGAGAAGTAGGAGTTATTTAAAAGGACTTTTTTAGAGGAAGGGATCTGGGAGTTGCAGGGAAATGCGAACATGATGTGGGAAGTGATTGCTACAAGGGTTCATATGGTAGTTAAAGCAATTTTGGGAGAATCCAAAGGTCATGGTCAAAGAGATAAGGAGACTTGGTGGTGGGATAAGAGTGTGCAAGAGAAAATCAGACAAAAAAGAGATTGTTTTAAGACCATACATTTGTGCAATAATGTAGAAAACTGGGAAAAGTATCGTTTGGCTAAAAAAGAACGAACGCAGCAGTGAGCGAAGCACATGCTAAAGCTTATGAGGGGTTTTATCAGGAGTTAGAAACAAAGGCGAAGGAAATAAATATTTACAAGATTGCAAAACAAAAAGAGAGGGAAAAAAAGAGATCTGGACAAGTGAAGTATATAAAGGATGAAAATGGTAAAGTGCTAGTTATTGATGGCAATATTAAGGATAGATGGGAGGCTTACTTTTACAAGTTGTTTGACGAGGAAAGCGAATGTGCGACTCAGAACTTACAGGATTTGCTAATTAATGAAGATGATCAGAATTTGGCTTTTTACCGCAGGATCCACATCGGAAAGGTTAAGGCAGCCCTCAAAAAAATGGATGATAAATCCTGATTTTAATAGATTATTTGATATCTTTTTGGAGATATTTATTAATTAAAGTGGGATAAATTGCATTGATTGTAGGTATTTTGAATCAAATACTAATTGCATGAAATTAGAGATTTAATAGGAGATCTTATCATATTTTTGTCTCTTTTTAAATAATTGATTTTGGATTTTATGATAATATCTCAACTCATCTTTTGTAGGCCTCAGAAAAAGAAATAAACATAAAAGAAAAGCTGAAACAAAAGGAAAAGAATTTAAAAAGAAAAAAAAAGAAAAAAGAAGAAAAAGACGCAAGAGATGGGAAGCACGGATTTTGGAAAGATATTTAGATATATATTAAATATATCAATTGCAAGATATGGAGGCCACATACGACACGCCAACTGCCCTGTGTGTGTGTGTGTGTGAGGACGCACACTCATAGACACCACACTCATACACGGCCTTCCTCCCTTCCTTATTGCCATATACCATCCGATTTCACTGTCCTTCTTCAGGGAGCAACACGCAGCCACTACTTCATTGACATCATCCACAAATCATTCTTCCTAGTTCATCATCACCACGGCGTTCTCCCTTTTCGTTGCTTTCTTTATTTCTTTGCTATCAATCCTTCACATCCATTCTCTCATCGTAGCCTCTATAGATTCTCATTGCTTTAAATATATTGTGGATTCTTCTAGAGCTATGAGAGGCTAATTTCCTTGTGCTTCTTGAAGATGGAAGATAGCTTGAGCTTGGAGCTTCAACTAAGGGAGTATTTAGTTTTCCAATTAATTTTTTCCTGAACTTCATTAGATTTTTCCTGCATTAGGATTCTTTTTATTTATTTTAGAGACTGAGATTATGCATTATAATTTCTGTTAATTGGATTTTTGCAGTTTAATTTGAGTTGTATTACTTGGGATTTGAATTTATATATATTTCCTTTGCATTCATTAAAATTATCTTATCTGACGCGTTGTTAGATTTTATGATTGAGATGTATTGCAATTGAGTGTCTCCGTGAGCATTCTTTGAGAGGGAAACAAGTTTTATTAACTCAATTTAAATTGCACATCAAGTGATTTTTAAAAGTGGCTTAATAACTTGATTACTATCTAGCGTTTAGGGTAGTTAAGTGTTGAGTTTACTTGACCCAAACTGTGTTTGGGGTTGTTTTTCTTAACTTGGTGTGTTATTTTACTTTCATATCTTTTATTAAGCAAGGATAGCTATACTCTATTTTCAAGAAGCATTCTCATCACTGATTTTCTAAAACCCGAATTTGTATTTTTCATTTTCTCCTTATTAAAAATACCAACAAAAAAAAGTAGTTTAGATTTATTTCTTACTTTCATAATTAGTTTTATTAATTGAAAAATCCTTTTTCAACCCCTCTTTTTAATTCTTTGTCACTTAGTTAACTTAGGAATTAATAAAAAGCTCCTCAAGAGACTCGACTTGAGTTGTACTTTACTGCATAATTTGATTTTATTTTTGATTTAACCCAAGACGACTTAAAGGTTCAAATCAAGTGGCGTCGTTGTTAGGGAGCCAAGTAATTGGTTCCTTAGTAAACTAAGTGTCATTTTTTTTAATTTTCTTTGAATTTATTTTTTTTCTCTAGTTTAGGTTGCATTTGCATATCATTAAAAAAATTCAAAAAAAAATCCTCATTTTATTTTAATTATTTTATTTTATTCTGTTTCATTTTATCTTTTATTCTATTTGCATATCTTGCATTGCATTTTGCATCTTTGCATTAATCTTCATTTGTTTTCGCACATTGCTGTTCTGAATTTCTTTATGTATGACCAGAGATAAAGAAACCCTACTTGACGATCCTGAGTTTGACATACCTTTAAAACAACTTAAAAGGAAAAGTAAGAAAAAGGGTCAAAAGAGTGATAGGGAACTTCTTTTAGAGCAGCACATCCCTAGTATACCTAACTGAATTTTAGACATGGCTGATCGTATTGAAAATAGGGGTAATGGTGAAAACAGTGGAAATGGAAATAGGGGCAATAGGGACAATAATGGTCATGAGGAAAATAATAGGCCTAGGAATAATGGTGAAGATTAGAGGAGTCTTAGAGAAATAAATAACTCTACTGTGAACTTTGATCCTCATAGTTTTTACAATTTTAATGCCAATTTTGAAATTGAATGTAATTTGATTAATGCTTTGCCTAAATTTTTTGGCCTTTCAAGAGATGACCCCTATAGACACATTGAGACCATGATGATGGTGCGCTCCACCATGAAGCCCCAAGGTGCTGATGTCGAGGAAGTTTTGAGGAGAACCTTTCATTTCACTATGGAAGGAAAAGCTAAAGAATGACTAAAGTCTAAAAACACTTCCCCAGCACTACACTATACTTACCTGGGAGCAACTCAAGACTGTATTTCTTGAAAAGTTCTTCCCTGCCTCCTGGTCTTCTAAGCTTAAGAAAGCTATTTTTAGTGCACAACAAGATGAAGGAGAATCGTTTTATGAATATTGAACCAGGTTTCTCACCATGATGGCTCGTTGCCCTAATCATCAGATTTCCAAATCTACTTTGGTTCAGTATTTCTATGAGGGTCTTTTGCCACTTCATCAGAGAACTATTAATGCTGCTGCTAATGGTTTGATAGTCGATCTCACTCCACAAGGTGCCTGGGACTTATTTGAGAAAACTGCTACAAATGATCAACAGTATGGCACTAGAGACAGACAGTTTGTGAGGGAGGTAGCTTCTTCTTCTTCTACTGATGAATTGAAGTTGTTTATGGAAAAAATTGACAGAATACTGGAGAGGCTAGAAAATGACAGGGGCCCAAAACAATGCAATGCCATGGGTACTTCTCAAGCCCTGGTAGCCCCAAGTTGTGAATTTTGTGGTTCCCCTATGCACCTTAGTAGTGTTTGCCCATCTAGAATTGAGGAAGTTTCTACAATGTATCAAAGTCACCCTAACGATCAGAAATGGGACCCATATTCCAACACATACAATGAGGGATGGAGAGACAATCCTAGATTCAGTTGGAGGAATAATGAGGCTAGAGGGCAGAATCATTTTTCACTAGGCAATGGTATTCCTTCTAACCAGTTTCAAGATACCTCAAGAATGGTTATTCCACTCCAGGATAATTCACTCTCTCAACCAAAGAGTGATGAGACCAGTCAACTCCTGAAGAGTATGTCTGCTCAGCTTAATAATATGGATACCCAATTAAGGAAAGATAAGGCCTTGAATGATAGCCAATTCTCCTCCATTGCTTCGATTCTCCAAAAGATGCAGGGTGATACGGTGAATGATAGTGCTCAATTAACAAACCTTTGTAAAAGGTTTGAGGCATTAGAAATGAAGAATAACACTTTAACATCTCACCTTACTCATGTTTCCAACACTGTGATCGAACTGCAAGTTAAGAATGGGGGTGGACTACCCTTAAATACTGTGATCAACCCCAAATCCCTTAATGCCACCAATCTGACAAGTGGGAGGATGACGAAGAAGTTGATGAGGAAATTGAATGTGATAGCCCTCCGTTACTCCTATGAAGCTGAAGCACTCCGAAAGTGCCAAGAAGAAAGAACTGATCGACAAGAATGCTGAAATTACTCAAGATGGAGCAAGGTCTACTGATGGGCCAGGATCTCAAGTGGCAAGTCAACTACTTCTGGAAGAGATCAATGAAAAAGCTCCAACCACACATGAGAAAAGCGAATCAACCATGCAAGGAGCCTTAAAACCAAAAGATAAAGAGGTAAAGATTTCTGACATTCCCTTTCCTAATGCTTACTTTAGAGGTAAGAAGCTGCATGATGATCAAACCCAAAAGGAAATGATTGAATTCTTTAGTAAGCTAGAAGTAAATATGCCTTTTCTCAACATGATTAAAAGTATGCCTGTGTATTGTAAGTTTCTGAAGGATTTGTGCACTCACAAGAGAAAGTTTAGACCTAATGAAAGAGTTCTAATGTATCAACTATCTTTAAGCCTCAACTTCCCATAAAGTGCCAAGATCCAGGTGCCTACACCATTCCCTGTACCATTGGACCAGTGAATATAGCCTAAATCTGTTTACATTGCCCTAAGAATCAAAGCAGTTAAACCCACCAGTGTTGTGTTATGGTTAGCTAATAGGTCTATTAGGCACCTTGATGGTATCTTAGAGGACATATTGGTTAAAGTGAAAGACCTTGTTTTCCCAGCTGATTTTTATGTCCTAGATGTGTCTAATGAGTTAGTCAGTGAGTCCACTCTCATCCTAGGTAGGCCCTTCCTTAGAACGGCAAATACCATTATTGATATGAAAGAAGGTGCCATAACCATGGAAGTTGGGAATCATAAGATATGCTTTAACATGTATGAAGCCATGAAACACCCCTATAAGGATTACTCTTTGTTAGGTGTTAATGCTATTGATTTGGCCATTAAAAAGGCAAGGGATGATTTTGAATTGAATTTGCATGATGATAACTACTTGCCTATGCCTGTTAAACATGATTCTTTTGAGCTTGATGATGCCATGTCTGCTTATGATGAGTATTTCTTCTCTCTTCCTTCTATATACTCTCTTTTTGATACTTGTGATAGCGATATGATATATTCTGATTTTGAGATTAGCAGTACCCTCTCTACTTCACAGGTTTATACATTTTCTCTTTGTGATACTGACTCTACTTTTGCAAGTGACCTTAGTTTGGGAAAGGATTTGCTTCTTGAATGTGCAGATACTTTTATCAACATGGAATCTGAGATTGTAGCTAAAACTAATGATGTTGGCTTAACAAAGAGGCCAATTTCATCTAGCTCCCCTGTACATGTTTTTTATCAGCAACCAAGGCAATCTTTACCTGAGGATAAAGGGCATTATGAGAACAATTCACTTACACTTTCTAATCACTCTATTATTTCTCCTCATACTTTGAAATACTTGCAAGATCTTGTTTCTAGTTGTAATGTAAGTGTGAAGGATGAAAACCCCACGTTTGTTGCTGCTATAGGTCAACCTGAAGTTGACTCAACACTTGGGAAGGCTAATGAACAAAAGGTAGATTCAAAGGAGCTGAATCTGAGCCACCTAGTTGAGGCTACAAAAGGGAGTTCTCTTTGTTCTCTTAAACTCCCTAAGTTAATCCCTTCTATTGTTTAATCCTCGACCCTTGAGCTAAAGTCTTTGCCTTCTAATCTTAAATATACATTTCTTGAGCATGATGAACACTTGCCTGTGATTATTTCAAATGCTTTATCCATTGATGAAGAGGCCAAGTTGCTTTGTGTGCTTAGGAAAAACAGGGAGGTTATTAGGTGGACATTAGCTAATATTCCTAGGATCAGTCCAACTGTTTGTACCCATAGGATACTACTTACTGAGGACTCCAAACCCATTAGACAGCCCTAAAGGCGTCTTAACCCACTAATCTTAGATGTTGTAAGAAAAGAATTCACCAAACTTTTGAGTGCAGGGATCATATATCCTATTTCTGATAGTAAGTGGGTTAGTCCAGTTCAGGTAGTAGCTAAGAAGAGTAGGTTGACTATAGTTAAAAATGACAATGATGAGTTAATCCCCACTAGGGTTCAGAATTCATGGCGGGTATGCATTGATTACAGGAAGCTTAATGAAGCCACTAGGAAGAACCATTTCCCGTTGCCTTTTATTGATAAGATGTTAGAGAGATTAGCAGGAAAGAGTCATTACTGCTTTTTAGATGGGTTGTCCGGATACTTTCAAATCCCTATAGCTTCTGAGGATCAAGAGAAGACCACCTTTACTTGCTCATTCAGTACTTTTGCTTATAGGAGGATGCCTTTTGGTCTTTGTAATGCTCCGGGTACTTTTTAGCGCTACATGATGTCTATATTTTATGATTTTCTTGAGAATTGCATGGATGTTTTTATGGATGATTTTACAGTCTATGGTGAGTCATTTGATGCTTGCTTATCTAGTCTTGATCAGATCTTAACTCGATGCATTGAGAAGAAGTTTGTTTTGAACAATGAGAAATGTCATTTTATGGTAACTCAAGGCATCGTGCTAGGAATGTGATTTCTAAGAATGGTATTCAAGTTGATAAGGCAAAAGTTAAGGTTATTTCTTCCTTACCCTACCCTTCTTCATTTAAGGACTTAAGATCCTTTCTGGGACATGTTGGTTTTTACCGCAGATTCATAAAAGATTTTAGCAAAATATCTCTGCCTTTGTCAAAGCTTCTTTAAAAAGATGTTGACTTGGTTTTTGATGATAACTGTAAGCATGCATTTGATGAACTGAGACATAGACTGATTACTTCTCCTATTCTGACTATCCCTAATTGGGAACTTGCTTTTGAACTGTCTTATGATGCTTCTAATGGTGCTGTTGGAGTAATACTTGGCCAAAGAGATGGTAAGGTCTCCAAGGTCATTGCTTATGCATCAAAAACTTTGGATGCTGCTCAATGTAATTATACAACCATTGAGAAAGAGTTGTTTGCCATTGTGTTTGCTTTGGATAAATTTAGGCCCTATTTGATCAACTCTAAGGTTGTAGTATTCACAGATCATGCAGCTGTTAGGTATTTGTTTAAAAAGCCACAGTCTAAGCCTCGATTGCTTCGTTGGGCTCTACTTATGCAAGAATTCAACATTGAGATCAAGGATCGAGTTGGAGCAGAGAATCATGTTGCAGATCATCTCAGTCAACTTCCTAGCAATACGAGGGGAGTAGATGATTCCAATTTAGTTTGTGATGATTTTCCTGATGTTGCTCTTAGTACTGTGGGTTTGAAAGAACCCTGGTTTGCTGACTTGGTTAATTATTTGGTATTAGGATTGATTCCTAATTATTTGTCTCCATTTTAGGTAAAGAAGCTCAAGAGAAAAGCCCAATACTATGTATGGGATGAACCATACCTGTGGAGAATCTGCAATGACCAGATCATTAGAAAATGTGTACCAGAGATAGAATTCCAATCCATCCTTTCTACCTGCTATTCATTGAGTTGTGGGGGACACTTTAGCGCTAAAAAAACCTCTAGGAAAGTATTAGATGCTGGATTTTACTGGCCAACTTTGTTTAAGGATGCTTATTTGTATTATAAGGCATGTCATAAATGCCAGAGGTTTGGGGGGCTAGGTAAAAGGCATGAAATGCTGCAGCACCATATGTTATTCTATGAGATATTTGATGTTTAGGGAATTGATTTTATGAGTCCCTTTCCACCATCTACAGGTTTTAATTACATCTTGTTAGCAGTAGATTACTTATCTAGGTGGGGTAAAGGCCATCCTTACTAGGAAAGATGACGACTAAACGGTCTACAAGTTTCTTCAGTCTATCTTTTGTAGATTTGGGTTACCAAGGGCTATAATAAGTGACAGAGGTACCCATTTTTGCAACCGAATTATCGATGATTTGCTTGCAAACTTTGGGATTACCCAAAAAACATCCACTGCTTATCATCCACAGACAAATGGGCAAGTAGAAGTTTCTAACAGAGAAATCAAGCAGATCTTAGAAAAGATAGTGAAGCCTTCGAGAAAGGAATTGGAGCTTGAGGTTGGAAGAAGCACTCTGGGCATATAGAGCTGCCTTCAAAACACCAATAGGAATGTCTCCATACTAGCTTGTTTATGGGAAAGCATGTCATATTCTAGTTGAATTGGAGCATAAGACCTACTGGGCGGTGAAGATGTGCAAAATGGACCTAGAGGAATCTGGTCTGGAAAGGAAGTTGCAGTTACAAGAACTAGAAGAGATGCGGTTGGATGCTTATGAGGGTTCCTGCATATATAAAGAGAAAACCAAGCAGATTTATGACTAGAAGATACTGCGAAAACACTTTCAAGTTGGTGACCAAATGCTACTTTTCAAAGCTCGATTTGCGCTCAAACTAGGAAAGTTTAAAACCCGTTGGGATGGGCTATACAAAGTCACCAGAGTGCATGACTTTGGGACGGTAGAGCTACTTGATGAGGCTAGTGGATCAGAATTCAAAGTCAATGGACACCTTCTCAAGCTCTACCACAACAGTACAAAACCTTTATGAGGCCAAGTTGTCCCTTTCCTCTCTCTATCTCTCATGTCATGCATATGTCTGCCTGTGAAATGTTTTAAACATGAATGTTTGAGATAAGTTGGGGGGAGGGCCATTCCAGTAGCAATAGTTAGGATTAGTTCTTTTTTCCCCTTCTTGTTAGTTAATAAATGCTCCAAGCTCTCTGCTTTATCCACTCAACACATAGTCTTTACTGTTTTATTGATCATGACCCTACACAATCTTTACTTAACTCTCATCTCCTCTCTCTTCAGTGAGGTTGATGTGTTGTGCTTCAATTTTAAATTGGACTTTACAACTTCCACTTCACATAGGAGTTTGATAAGGATTGTATGTTTTGAAATACATTGAGGACAATGTATTGGCAAGTGTGGGGAAGGACCTCCATGTTCTACATTTGTGAGCCTTTCTATTTCATATTGAAATCCTTCGATTGATTGAGCCTGCTGATTCTGCCATTAGTATTGCTACTTCTGTTGCTGTCTGTGCCCCATACTTTAACTACTACTACTCTGTTTTGGAAAAAGAAAAAAAAGAAAGAGACTTTCACTAGTTTAATTTTGAGTTATGCTTGTTCATGATTGAATATAATGCTTTGATTTATGATACTCCTACAGCTAGTAATTTGAGTAGTTTGATTAATACTTTGTGATTAGTTTAGTGTCTAATTAGCCAATGTGAGTGAGCATGAGAAAATAAACCTTGTTGGAAGATTTTTGGGCCTAATTTCCTTTCTTTGTGTGATTATCCACTTAATTTTTCATTCTGCAAAACTTGTTTCAACTCTTAGTCTAATTACATTGTGATTATATGATAAAAGTGATTAAGGCATTCATATTTATAACCCTATATCCCAAACACAAACCTCTATCATCTTTATCCATTGCATACCCCTTTTGAGCCTTCACTTTCTTTTTATTCTCATTTTGGACAAGCAACAATGCATGTACATCTCAATTGCATTCTCAAAGCATCTTAATATACTTATGACTTGTCATATCATAGGTTGTTGCTACTGTCTTTCATAAATGTGTTTGAATGCCAATTTCAAAAAAAAAAAAGAGTGAAAAAAAGTTGAATATGAGAAAAACAAAAAATATATATATAGAAGAAAAAGAGTAGAAAAGTTTTTTTTTTTTTTAAAAAAAAAGAGAAGCAAAGAAGGGAAATAAGGCATTCATTTGGTTTTTTGAAGTAGCAAAAGTATCTTTGTGAGACATGATTTTATGGAATATCTAGTGGTATTTAAGATGCTCATCATTCATATGTGCATGCATAGTTCTTGTCATTTTTCTCATTCATTCCATGTGGCCTAATTCCATCATTACAACCCTTTAAAGTCCTCATAATTTTTTGTATGATTGTGATAGTAATTGAGACAGTAGAATTGTTACAAGCCTATGATAGAGTGTGAATTAAGTAGATCTAAGTGAAAATTACCCTAATGAGATGACATGAGTGAAACACTATTATCCTTGAGAGCTTTCTCTCATTTAATCACTGTCAAGATTGATTACATACTTGACTAATCTTTTACATTGGTTTTAACTATGAATTTTGCTAGTCTGTTAGATGTCATTGATTGGATTATTATATTCTTTCCCTGAACTTGTATAACTCTTTAATTGCTCTTGGTGTTAGTCTTGGTTCTTCATGTGATTGATTGTTTTGCCCAGGAGTGTAAAAGTTCAAGTGTGGGGAAGTTGATAAATCCTGATTTTAATATATTACTTGATATCTTTTTAGAGATATTTATCAATTAAAGTGGGATAAATTGCATTGATTGTGGGTATTTTGAATCAAATACTAATTGCATGAAATTAGAGATTTAATAGGAGATCTTATCATATTTTTATCTTTTTTCAATAATTGATTTTGGATTTTATGATAATATCTCAACTCATCTTTTGCAGGCCTCAGAAAAGGAAATAAACATAAAAGAAAAGCTAAAACAAAAGGAAAAGAATTTTTTTAAAAAACAAAAGGAAGAAAAAGACGTAAGAGATAGGAAGCGCGGATTTTGGAAAGATATTTAGGTATATATTAAATCTATCAATTGCAAGATATGGAGGCCACATACGACACGCCAACTGCCCTATATATATATGAGGACGCACACTCATAGACACCGCACTCATACATGGCCTTCCTCCCTTCCTCATAGCCATATACCACACGCCGCCAACACCCCCTCCAATTTCCATTCGATTTCACCGTCCTTCTTCAAGGAGCAACACGCAGGCCCTACTTCATTGACATCATCCACAAATCATTCTTCCCAGTTCATCATCACCACGGCGTTCTCCCTTTTCGTTGCTTTCTTTATTTCTTTGCTATCAATCCTTCACATCCATTCTCTCATCGTAGCCTCTATAGATTCTCATTGCTTTAAATATATTGTGGATTCTTCTAGAGCTATGAGAGGCTAATTTCCTTGTGCTTCTTGAAGATAGAAGATAGCTTGAGCTTGGAGCTTCAACTAGGAGAGTATTTAGTTTTCCAATTAATTTTCTCCTGAACTTCATTAGGTTTTTCCTGCGTTAGGATTCTTTTTATTTATTTTATAGACTGAGATTATGCATTATAATTTCTGTTAATTGGATTTTTGCAGTTTAATTTGAGTTGTATTATTTGGGATTTGAATTTATATATATTTCCTTTGCATTCATTAAAATTATCTTATCTGGCGCGTTGTTAGATTTTATGATTGAGATGTATTGCAATTGAGTGTCTCCGTGAGCATTCTTTGAGAGGGAAACAAGTTTTATTAACTCAATTTAAATTGCACATCAAGTGATTTTTAAAAGTGGCTTAATAACTTGATTAATATCTAGCGTTTAGGGTAGTTAAGTGTTGAGTTTACTTGACCCAAACCATGTTTGGGGTTGTTTTTCTTAACTTGGTGTGTTATTTTACTCTCATATCTTTTACTAAGCAAGGATAGCTACATTCCGTTTTCAAGAAGCATTCTCATCACTGATTTTCTAAAACCCGAATTTGCATTTTTCATTTTCGCCTTATTAAAAATACAAAAAAAAAAAGTAGTTTAGATTTATTTCTTACTTTCATAATTAGTTTTATTAATTGAAAAATCCTTTATCAACCCCTCCTTTAATTCTTTGTCACTTAGTTAACTCAGGAATTAATAAAAAGCTCATCAAGAGACTCGACCTGAGTTGTGCTTTACTGCAAAATTTGGTTTTATTTTTTATTTAATCCAAGGCGACTAAAAAAAAGTTCAAATCAATGGACAATGGTAAAGTCGTTGGGCCTAATGGTATTCCTATTGAAGTTTGGAAATGTTTGGACGAGGAGGGTGAATTGTGGCCAACCAAACTTTTTAATGAAATTTTACACTCCAAGAACATGTCAGATGATTGGAAGAGAAGCATTTTAGTTCCTATTTATAATAATAAAGGAGACATTCAAAATTGTACTAGCTACAGAGAGAGATAAAATTTATGAGTCATATAATGAAGTTGTGGGAAAAAATGATTGAACATAGGTTGAGGTTGGAGACTTCTATTTCAGAGGACCAATTTGGATTTATGCCAAGGAGATTCACAACTGAAGCAATCTATTTACCAAAGGGGTTAATGGAAAGATATATGAGTAAAAGAAGGGATTTATATATGGTTTTTATTGACTTGGAAAAAGCTTATAATCATGTGTCAAGAGAAGTACTTTGGAAGGATTTGAAAAAGCAAGGTGCACGGGTCACCTATATCAAAGCCATACAAGATTTGTATGAGGGGGTAACTACTAGTGTAAGAACGCCTGGAGGTGAGACAAAGGACTTCCCTATTAAGATTGGTCTACATCAGGGGTCTTCTTTAAGCCCTTATTTGTTTAATATTATTCTGGATGTTCTAATCAAGCTTATCCAAGAAGAATCCCTAAATCCATGCTCTTCGTGGATGACATAGTTCTCATAACAAAGTCAAAAAAAGAGATTAACTCTAGATTGGAGTTATGGAGAAGGACTTTAGAGTTGAAAGGTTTTCACTTGAGTAGGAACAAAATAGAATATATGCATTGCAATTTTGGGGAAAGGCAAAGCAATGGTGATTTGGAGGTAAAGATGGAGGATCAAATCCTTCCTCAAGTATCAAAGTTTAAATGCCTTGGATCCATTATACACGAGGATGGTGAAATTGATGGAGAAGTTTCTCATAGAATGCAAGCTAGCTGGTTAAAGTGGAGGAAGGCTACTGGAGTTATTTGTGATAAGAAGGTACCTGAGAAGCTTAAGAGAAAATTTTATCGGACTACTATAAGACCAGCTATGTTGTACAGTAGTGAATGTTGGGTGATCAAGAAAAAACAAGAGCCCAAAATTGGGATAGTAGAAATAAGGATGTTGATATGGATGTGTGGTCACATAAGAAAAGATAAGATTCGAAATGAAAATATCAGAGCAAGAGTTGGTATGGCGCCTATCTAAGAAAAAATGATTGAAAATTGCTTAAGATGGTTTGGACATGTGCAGAGAAGGCCATTAGATTTCCCGGTAAAGAGGGTAGATCAGACAATATGGAGTCCCATAAAAAGGGATAGAGGAAGACCGAGAAGAATGCTTAATGAGGTCATTGAGTGAGACCTCCTAGTCAACAACATATCTAAGGATTGGGTTGTTGATAGAGCATGATGGCATCATGTTATTCATGTAGCTGATCCTACTTAGTGAGATAAGGCTTGTTGTTGTTTTTGTTGTTGTACAGGCTTTTTGAATGAAATTCTCTTTAAGCAAATATGAAACCTACCTCTCAATGCCTAACTGACTGTGAATCAACTTTGTAGCTCCATCGGCACCCCAGTACCCTACGCATATGCAAGCTCCATCAACACGTCCTCTCTCTTTTCCTCCATCTCTCAACCCTCTCACTTCTCTTCCTCATTTTTGTTCTTTCCCTCTTTCTCTCCCCCCCTATTTCTTGCAGAAACCTCTCTCTTTCCCCCTCCTTCCCCTACCCCCATTTCTTGCTTTAGTGAGAGGAGGGAGAGGCAATTGGAGCTTTATGTGTTAAAAATGGTTGGAATTCTTTTTAACAAAAGAAAGAGTAACTCGTGATGAAATGGTTCTGTGGTCTTGAAATAATTAATGGTAAAATGATTCTTGCTTGAGAAGCAACTGTTCGTAATCTCTTTGTGGAGGCTTATAGATGCGTGGGAGGTGTTAATAGAGCTGCAAAGTTGATTCCCAGTGGGATGACAGATTTGCTTAAGGAGTCGTGGAGCTTATTTGGAACACACAAACATTTTTTTTAATATGTCAATAATCTCTTTTGTAAATAAAAAATAAAAAATTAAAGACTAAGTTTTAGCCGAATTAAAAATTTAAAGAATAAGTTGTACTGAATCATAATTAAGGAACTGAATCATACAACAACAAAAGCCTTATCCCATTAGGTAGGGTCGGCTACATGAATCACACTACACCATCGTACTCTGTTAACAACCCAGTCGTTAGATATATTGTTGATCAGAAGGTCTCGTTCAATGACCTCATTGAGCGTTCTTCTCGATTTTTCTCTGCCTCTTTTTATGAGACTCCATATTGTCTGATCTACCCTCATCACCAGGGCCTCCAATGGCCTTCTCTGCATATGTCCAAACAATCTTAAGCGATTTTCAATCATTTTCTCTTAGATAGGTGCTACACCGACTCTTGCTCTGATATTTTCACTTCGAATCTAATCTTTTCTTGTATGACTACATATCCATCTCAACATCCTCATTTCTGCTACCCCAACTTTGTGCTCTTGTTTTCCCTTTGTCGCCCAACATTTACTATTGTACAACATAACTAGTCTTATAGCAGTCTGATAAAATTTTCTCTTAAACTTCTCAAGTACCTTCTTATCGTAAATAACTTCGGTAGCCTTCCTCCACTTTAGCCAATCAGCTTGTATTATATGAGAAACGTCTCCATCAATTTCCCTATCCTCATATATAATAGATTCTAGGTATTTAAACTTTGATACTTGAGGAATGATTTGATCCTCCATCTTCACCTCCAAATCACCATTGCCTTGCCTCTCCCCAAAATTACAATGCATATATTCTATTTTGTTCCTACTCAAGTGAAAACCCTTCGACTCCAAAGTCTTCTTCATAACTCCAATTCAGAGTTAATCTCTTCTTTTAATTCGTCCATGAAAACTATGTCATCCACGAAGAGCACGGACTTAGGGATTTTTTCTTCAATAAGTTTGGTTAGAACATCCACAATAATATTAAATAAGTAAGGATTCAAAGAAGATCCCTAAGGTAAGCTAATCTTAATAGGGAAGTCATTTGTTTCACCTCCAAGCGTTCTTACACTAGTAATTGCCCTCTCATACATATCTTGTATGGTTTTGATATAAGCAACCCGTACAGCTTTCTTTTCTAAAGCCTTCCACAGTACTTCTCTTGGCACATGATTATAAGCTTTTTTCAGGTCAATAAAAATCATATATAAATCCCTTCTTTTACTCCTATATCTTCCCATTAACCCCCTTAGTAAATAGATTGCTTCAGTTGTGGATCTCCCGGCATAAATCCAAATTGGTTCTCTGAAATAGAAGTCTCCAACCTCAACATATATTCAATCATTTTTTCCCACAACTTCATTGTATGACTTATAAGTTTTATCCCTATGTAGTTTGCACAGTTTTGAATGTCTCCTTTATTCTTGTAAATAGGAACTAAAATGCTTCTCCTCTAATCATCCGGTATATTCTTAGAGCGTAAAATTTTATTAAAAAGCTTGGCTAGCCACAATTCACCCTCATCGCCCAAACATTTCCAAACTTCAATAGGAATACCATCAGGCCCAACGACTTTACCATTTTCTATTTTCTTGAGAGCTGCCTTAACCTCTCTGATGTGGATCCTGCAGTAAAAAGCCAAATTATGATCATCTTTGTTAATTAGCAAGTCTTGTAAATCTTGAGTCGCATAATCGCTTCCCTTATTAAACAACTTGTAAAAGTAAGCCTTCTATCTGTCCTTGATATCACCATCAGTAACTAGCACTTTACATCTTCATCCTTTATACACTTCACTTGGTCCAGATCTCTCTTTTTCTTCTCCCTTTGCTTTGCAATCTTGTAAATATTTCTTTCTCCCGCCTTTGTTCCTTACTCCTGATAAAACCCCTCAAAAGCTTTAGTACGTGCTTCGCTCACTGTTCTCTTCGTCTCTTTTTTAGCCAAATGATACTTTTTCCGGTTTTCTACACTATTGTGCAAATGTATGGCCTTAAAACAATCTCTTTTCTGTCTGACTTTCTCTTGCACACTCTCGTCCCACCACCAAGTCTCCTTATCTCTCTAACCATGACCTTTAGATTCTCTCCAAATTGCTTTAGCTACCATACGAACCCTTGTAGTTATCTCTTCCCACATCATGTTCGTATCTCCCTGCAACTCCCAGATCCCTTCCTCCAAAAAAAGTCTTTTTGAATAACTCTCACTTCTCACCCTTTAACTGCCACCACTTAACCCTGGGTTTTACCACTTGATGATACTTTTGTCTGATACTCTTAAAACGTACATCAAAGATAAGTGCTCTATGTTAGGTAGTCACCCCATCTCCATGAATCACTTTGCAATTAGTACACAATCTTCTATCTGGATTCTTAACCAAAAAGAAATGAATATGTGATTTTGAGGCACCACTCTTGTACGTGATTAAATGCTCCTCTCGCTTCTTAAAACAAGTGTTGACAATCTTGAGATTGTATGCAAAAGAAAAGTCAAGAATAGATTGTCCTTCATTATTAAGCTCCCTAAAACCAAAACCACCATAAGCCCCACCAAATTGTCCTGCTTCCTTGCCAACATGTCCATTAAGATCCCCACCAATAAAAAATTTTCTTCGAGTGGTATGCTTTGAACCAACCCCTCCATATCTTCCCAAAACTTATATTTAAGGTGTGCCTCTGTCCCAACCTGAGGTGCATAAACACTAATGACCTTGATAGTATCATTTCTAACAATCACTCTTACCCCTTGCTTGGATTTAAAGAAAATTAGGGAGGAGAAAAAAATAGAGAGGAGAAACAAGTTTTCTCTTGCTTGGATAGGAAAGAAAATGCAGGAAGAAAAAAAGTGGAGGAGAAAATAAAGTGGCCTCATACCTCATTTTCTCTCCAAATTTTCTCTCCATATATAGAGAGATTTGGAAAGAAAAACAAGATTTTCATGACTGCCCCTCCTCTCTCTTCCTCTCTAGATTTATTTTTTTCTATTATATTTAAAAAGTTATTCACTTTTTGTTTTTTATCTTAAAACAATATTTTTATTAAATAATTTGGTTTTAAAACATAATAATATGAAAATATATATAAACCAAATAATTTGATTTTAAATTATTTGATGATGCTAATGTTAGTATAATTTTTCTATTGCAATATTTAATTTAATTTAATTTTAAATATGATATATTTTGATAAGGACATTTTAGTCATTTAGATATTAGCTAACTTTCTTTCCTCTATTTTCTCTCCTCCATTCAAGCAAGAAGGATGATAACAACTTCCCCTACTTTTTCCTTCTCTCTATTTTCTTTCCTCTCTACTTTTCTTCCTATCCAAGCATAGCCTTAAAGATGTTATTCTGTCCTCAAACCTTTTAACCTCCACCACATTCCTTTTTCATGTTCCATCAACGACGATACCAACACTATTCATTGCACTCACCTTTCCTGTGTACCAAAGTCTATACTCTCCAAGTTTCTTAAAGGCACAAAATGTTAATCTTTTTGTCCCTCATAACTCCTACTACTTTTATAGATTTCTCATTCAACGTCCCAACATTCTAAGTGCCAAATCTAATCTTAGTCTCATGAGCTAACTTCTTTAACCACCTTCGTTAGAGTGCGGTAGCCCTTGCTCATTTAACACTACCTCCGGGCAACGATGCAGTGGCTCTAGCTCACTTCTCATTGTACTTGAGCCATACAACGCGTCACTTCTAGATAACAAATTAGCATTAACATAATTACTTCGTTGATCTATGTTCATAAGATTCAACGGATTTTTACATTGATTGTTGAAGGCCTAACACAACCCTCTTTCTTTATCCAGGCTTAGAACCAACTATACAATATAAGCAGAATTAAGGAACTGAATCATAACTAAGCTAAAATTTAAAACACCAAAAAATTAACGTTTCCTATAATTTATAATTTCAAAAACACAGATTTCTTGCCTATTTATTCATTGTTCTTTTTCCAATGCTTATTAGATATAGACATATATAAATTATAGCTTAAAAAACATGGATTACATCAAAAAAAATTATAAAAGGACGGAATATGTGACTGGCTTGACCGGGTAAGCCATCGCTTTACCGATTTAACCTGGTTTCTTCCTCTCCAGTTTTCTCATTGCACTGGACCGGACTTGCTAGACTAGAGTAAACGCTTGGTCTGATTCTCTCAACACCTAAAAACTTATAAATTGAACCAAGACCTATAATGTACTAATTTCACAAGTATAATAAGTGTTCAAGAATCGAACACCCAATTTCCTTTTCTAAGATGATAAATTACAATTAACTTAGCTGAGATAAAATCTACACTGGCATTATTTTATTGCCGTTTCACCGGGTCATTTTGCTTCTTGTCTGAAGCAGTATTGCTACTATCGATGGCACCAGCAGCTAACATGTCGATTAACCTCTCGTAATCAATTTCAGTTGACTTGAACTTGAACTTGATGCCTACCTGAATCCATGACTTAATACAAAGAATAGACTGTGCGCTATCATGTGACATACAGAACCGTTGCTTGCTGATCTCATCACCCCTGCCACAGAAAAGCTCTTCAGGCACAACTGAAGTTGCCTGCATAGCGAGGAAATCTCTAGCCATCACAGATAACCGCGGATAACGTGTACTATTGACCTTCCACCATTCTAAAACATCTGTTGGTATTGGAGCTGGAGCCTCTAAAAGATACTGACTGAGCTCATCAGTGCCGGAGCTCATGCTTGCACGTCGTTTCTTGCGTGCTATCTCCTCTGCAAATGATACAGCCCCATCTTCAATTTCCTGAGCACTGTATCCAGCACTCATGGATGAGAAATGAGTGGTAGAATAATTTCTTGTAAAATGCGTTCTTGCTTCCTCTAGAAAACTATCTGAGTTTAAACCCTCGGGGATTAGCTCTCCCTTAACTCGAGGATCTAGAATTGCTGTCATATATGTGAATATGTTGCAAACCTGATTAATATAACTTCTGGCCTTTTTAGCCATTTCTTCTGCAGCGCTTTTTAGCCAGTCTGGAGTGTGACGGGATTCTCTGCAGTTAGCAATTGTTTCCGAAATGTGATCCATGAAGAACAGGACGAGGCCAACTGTTGGCACCTTACTTGTGCATAGGTTGTTCGTGGTCTTGTAGAATGGCTCTAAATATTGATGCACGACACTAGCCACACTTTTCTCAGTTGAGTTCAGCACCATCCTACTACCAAGAGTCTCCTCGTATTTACGAATAACTGCATCAATAGATTTACCTCCCTGCATCATAAATATACCCATATTCCATTACTTTGAATTCAAAAAGCAAATATCAGATTCACAAGAATGTTGTAAAATGATACATGATCATAGTTAAGAGCAAATTTTCATAACAAGGCTATTATACCTCCTATTTCTCACAACACATTGACGACAAGTATGGGCCGAGAAACCACAATTTTCCCATACATCTTTTAGAGAAAATTTACTGAACAAGCTTAAAATGAACACCAGATAGGAGTTTCCAATTGATTACTATCCTTGGTTAGAACTCCCCTTTTAAAGAGTAAAGCCTCCAAGAAAATCACATTATTCACAACATACAGGCACAATAGACAAACCTCGGACACATTTCAACAACACACATACGATAGTAGGCGCAAAGAGATTGATAAAAACATGAGTACATCAACTAGCATGTTAAAAGATGTACTTAAGAGGCATGTCAAGTCCCCAAAAAAACAGCTTCTTTCCTGACGTGCCAGTGTTTCATAGACAACAACCAAGAATACAGGGTTACTCAGTTAATTCCCAAGCTTAAAATGAAACAGGTGTGATGGACAACCATATGACCTGATGATTTTCCTTAACGTGATTTTTGGTTTTCTATCAAAAATTATTGGGTCTCTGATACTTTTTTGATGAAATAACAATCATACACAAACTAACCAATTTACATAAATGAATTACGTGTTCCCCTATTGAGATTAAGTAAACACTATTAATAACTTCTTAAACAAATTTGAAATCCTGACGGATACAGAGTAATAGCTGAATCGTTAAAGTGAACTCACTAAAGTAGTACTTGTAAGTGTCCTCTACTTATTTACTTAAAGGTCTACTTCGCCTGGAAAAATCAGGGAATTCTGAACTGTTTTCCAACACCATAACCATGAGAATCCGCAAGCATAAAATCGTTGACAGTTTTGACCGTGAAAATATTGGCACTATAAAGATAACAATAGATCTCTTTTCCATTACCCCTACTACTTCCTGATTACTGTCATGGGAGTAAAGATATTGAAAACAGGAATTTAACAGAAGACAAATTCATAACAGAATGATGAGCTTTCATTTCATTCACAATTAACATTTCCTATATGATCCCTTGAAGGAAAATATCTGCAATTTTCATAGGGATCTACATGCCCATTATGAAAATAGTTGTCAAAGATAACAAGGTACCTTGCGAACAATGTCAAGCATCTGGTAATTTCCGCTCCACCTTGTGGAAACATCAAGTGGAAATTTCCAAGTACCTTCCTGATAAGCCGTAGACATTTGAATAAAATCCTCAGCCATTTCTGATGAGGCATTCAATTCTATTACAAATTCCCGGATCTTGGAAATTATTGACTTTGTGGATCTCAACCCATCATCTATAATCAAGCTCAAAGTTCTAGCAGCACAGGGGAGATAACAGAATGGCCCTATCTTCTGAGCATCCAAGTCCTCTTTCAACGTATGGCAGGCGTGCATGGCACTTTGACTATTATCATGGGTACATGAAAGGACTCTATTTTCAATATTGTACAATTTAAGAACTTTAATGAGGGAATGATATATTTCTGTACTCCCATGAGGGGAAGGTATGCGACAAATATCAAGAAGCACTTTCCGGAAGCACCAGTTCTCATCAATCCACTGACAGGTGACACTCATATAAAATATCTGATCAAAAGAAGTCCAGAAATCAACTGTGATGGAGAACTTGGAAGAAACTTGTGCTAAAAACGCTTTCACTTCTTCCTTCATGCTTCTGAAAACTTCAAAAACCACAGATCTATACTTCTCATTTGGCCAGAGTTGTATAGATGAATTCAGAAACTTGAAGGAATTCACTAGCCACCTCTCCTCCAGAGTCGACAGGGGCAGAGAAGCTGTAACAAGCCACCTAATGAGCAACCAATTTAGATTATCATAATCGACCTGGTTTGCTTTTCCTTGAGGTTGAATCTTCTTGACCACAGCAGTATGTTGAGTTGCTGGATTGCTGGCAGCATCCCCTGACTTTTCATACCCTGGATGGCGATTGGCAAGATGCCTTCCCAAATTGCCTACATAAATAAAGAAAAATTAGTACATATTAATAAGTTGATATAGCTGATATAATTTAAAACTGGTGTGGCTTAAAATATATACTGAAATAATAAGTTGGAAGGAACGATAGGTCATAATCAATGATATAATGTCAAAAGCTTCGGTATCTCCTTTTAATGAGTAATTCCTTGGCTTGGCTTGATAACAACAAATTGAGGCATGTTATGACAAATCTCAGGAGTAGAAAAGATACTGATCTTTAGAAAAGAAAGGATAGGTCATAATCAATGAAAGAAAATAGCACATGAGAAATACCTGTGGCATGTCACCCAAAAAAAAAAAAAAAAACCCAAAGAAAGGAAGAAATACCTGTGGCAGTTGCAATAGAATATGTTTGTCCACAAAATTTGCATCTCCGGGTCTTCCCATCAGCAGCTGTCTCAAAGAACTTAAGATACACCGATGTCATTGTTTTCTTTCTTGGCTTCACTGAATTTATAGGATTTGCCTTTTCTGAAGAGCCAAGGCCAAGATTTACAGGATCCATGTTTGGAATGAGCGCCACCTCCATCATTGATTTATGATCATCTACTGAATAGAGCAGAGAAGAGCTAAAGAGTCATAGGATGCATTCAAGTTTCAAAGAGGGAAAATAACAAAATCAATTTTTCATACTTGAATCAGTAAATAACACACAAAAATGCAGAAAACTACTTCATTATCCTAGGGTTTGAATATCATGATAAATATCAACATCCTGAAAACAAAATTTCACAGCTTCACTTGACATGGGTGCTGATATTACTCAAAATTCAACGAGACATCTAAAGCCTTCAAGTGTCCTCCTCACCAAACATGAATCAATAACTTGAGCTTAATCAACCATTTTTAAAGTTAAAATAGATCACAGACTACCACTGTAAGAAGTTAAAATGACAATAGATTCCTCAACAACCTTTTCCGTAACTCTGGCAATCCATATAAAATATGTCGTCTGAATCAGATAATGCCAATATGACATTAATCTAGTAACTACTGTAAAGGTTATTTTACTTAAGCAACCCAAAAGACATAACATAACAAAACAAAACAAAACCAAAGAAAAAAAACTTTTCACGTAATACGTTTCTTATGGTCAGGGCATGGCTTTTCTCTAATGCGAAAATACAATTCTAAAAATCTTGCCACTTCCATCAAGATTTCCAGAAGTAAAAATGAAATATTGTAGTTATTAAATGCAAACCATATTTGCCAAATCCAATGAAACGGTCATGAATTGGCAAGTCCTCAAATAAAATGCCATTTTAAAGTAGGTTTAATTATCATCTTGGTCCCTTGGCTTAAATTTGTTTAAATTTGCTCCCTCAAGGATGTGGCAAAAAAACATAGATACGATACAAATTAAGAGTTAAAGAAGGAAACCAAAATATATAAATACGTCAGAGAAGCATAATACTAATGCAGCCCCAAAAAAAAAGTTTCAGAGCCAAAAATCTAAGATCGTGGTTATTATTCTTTCGTTCACGCAGGTTATTAGTTTTGATGCTCCAGAACGAATGTGTTGAATTACGTCAAACCTGCCAGACTATAACCAAATTATAAGTTGGGAAATCAAGCATTTTGATTGCATTTCTCTAATCAAAACTTGAGAATTATTCAATAAACAAAGGACGAGCATAAAGTACCCAGAGTCCAGAGTATGCAATTACAATAAATGAGAAAGACTATGGAAACAGGGTAAGTGGTTTCAGGTACCTTTGTAACTTCTGTACTGGCTATTTACACTCCAGTCCATGCGATTACCACCCGCTGCCAGACGTCTGATCAGTAAAGCACGATGGTAAGAAGAAAAGGCAAAAGCAATTTATTCTAACGAGAGAACAAAAGGAAAGGACAAGAATTCTGAAAAACATAGCAGCACTTAGCAGAGATAGATCAAAGATGTAATATCAAGTAGAGGAAAAAAGTCGTAAGTACAGCAAGGATTAACGAAAACTTGCAAAACAGAAGAAAAAAGTTGAATTGCGGAACAAAGGCAACAAAAGCGAGCTAAAGTAGACCAAGACTCTGATTCAAATTGAGAAGAGAATATCCGAATAAGGCAAGAGTAACAGTAGGAAGGAATTTCCTCACCCCAAAATTCATGACAAATGGGGGGACGGAGAAGGGTCTGATGAAAACTAGGAAGAGCCGAGAGACTTGATGGACAAGAATGAATTGGAGAAGGTTGAGAGTTGTGGGAGGGGCGAAGAGGCAGCGAGAGTGACTCAGAAAAGAATGTGTGCAAATTCAGCTGAAGAAATGTGGTAATAATATTGATGTCGGGGGTGGTTGGGGGGGGGGGGGGGGAATGGAGGGAGGAGGAAAACTGAAAAAAACTGAAAGGAGGGAAGATCGGCGTGGATCTGAAGCCGGATCTGATGAGCCGAGAGGGGCAGAGAGCGGGGAAAGACAAAAGGAGCGAAGCGCAGAGAGAGGAAAGAAGTGAGCCGGGTAGAAGGGTGGAGACGCGAGCGACGCAGATACGGATTGCTGAATGTGGTCAGCTTCAGCCTTCATGCGTTGATTGAAGTTAAAAGTTAACCATAGTTTGGCCGTTTTTATTTTTGACGACGTCGCTGAGTTTTATGTATAGTTAGCTGGCTCGGCCTCGGCGTGGTTACTCAGTCAGATCGCACGCGAGTTCAAGAATATTTAACTCAAAAGTCGCAAGCTCCAAGTCAACTCGAGCGAGCTACGAGTTTGCCTCCCCACTCAGCCGTTCGGTTTCGCCTCCAACTCATCTGCATGCCCAATTATTAATTATTGATCGATTATTTAAATTATCCACACATTTGACAGCAACTTGTTACTTTATTGAATCAAAATTCTTTTCCTCGGGTAGATTGCTCTTGCAAGCACAAAATATATCTATAATACATGCCAAATATACAAACAATTTTAACATGATACTTCTCTTGTACTATTTATATACAAGGTAGAGGGAGAAGAAATTTTATGACCCGCAGAGAGAAAATTTTTGTATGAATATGTAAATTTACCCATCATTTATTATTATGTTGACTTTATTCTCATAAAGTATAATGTATTAAATAGGAATAAAGTTATAAAGTTGTTGAATTTTAAATAAAAATTAATAAACTTGATTGAAATATATTAACGGTGATTTATAAATAGGATGAGAATGGTATGTATTTTGCTTGCTTAGAATATCTTGTCGCAGTTTTCTTGAATTTTAAGATGTGGAACAGTATGCACATAAAAAGAAATAAAAATGCAGAGGAACATGCCAATAAACAAAATAGAAATGTATTGAGATCATAAGTTAACTACTCCTCCGGTCCTAATTATAAGACCCAATTGACTTATTTGAGGAGATTAAGGAAGCAAGTTAAGTTGGTTATTTATAATAAATAAGTGTTGTTATTCCTAAAATATCCTTGCTAATTAAGTATATTGGCTAAAACTATCATTATTAGAAGGATTATCTTGGAAAAAAATGCATAAATATAAGAGACAAAATGGATTGGGTCTTATAATTAGGACCAAATAAAAAGTCAAATTGGGTCTTATAATAAGGACCGGAGGAGTATAAAGGAAATAGAACTGCCCAAATAACAGTGATAGAAGTTAATAAAATAAAAGGCAGGAGAGTAACATAGAAACGTAAATGAAGCCAGGCAATAAATGCTCCATTAGAGAGAAAGAATTAGATTGTAGTAATTCACGGATTTCCAATTGCTGATTACGTAGCATCCCTGCTGATTTCTCTCATTTATAAGCGATATTAAAGACTCACAATGTTGAATATCTCTCAATTTTAGAGCCAACCAACCATGTTTTACGCGCTTATCCGACTCGGAATCAGTTTCAATTGATAAGCGCCCTATACTTATCAGATATGTATAGAATTTAAATTAGGAATACTCTCTTATCTATCATTCTGTCAAAAAATAATTTTTTTATTTAAAAATAATTAATTAAAAAAATCAAATCTAAACCATTCAAATAAAATATAAATAGTGCAAATATAATGAGCTTAAGATGCTCATCAAAATGATGGGTACTAAAACTAGTTCCTATCCAACTAGGCCTCGTCCTATTTTCTTCGTCATTGGTAGTTGTTATACCATTTGTTGTGATGTGAGATGCATCCATTTTATTTTATTTTTTTGGTAAACAAAAGTTTAGATTAGTTGGATCTCGGGAACTCACTAGAATCAGAGCATGCCTCGAGGTTCAGAAAGTACTTACTGATTACCCACCAACAAGGTCTTCACATCGGTAGTAGAATTTAAACTCATAATCTTTTTAGATTATGAGTTAACTTATTATCAACTAGATCAACTCTTATTAGCAATGCATCAATTTTATTGTTTCATGGGGCTAACATTTTTTTCTTGGACCCATACCCGATTCTCTTTCTTTCAGGCCGTTCTTAAGACCCAATTCATGTTTTTTTTTAAACCTTGAGGTCATTTCTGGTCCAAACAATACTCATATGAATTTTCATCCACTATCCGAATATGTATTTTGTTACTAATCCCACTTAAATTAGAAGGAGAAGTATTTATTAAATCAACAAAAATTATTTTACTTTGCATTGTCATTTTGATTAACTCAGGATATAAAATAAATTTATTTAATGTCAAATTTATGAAAATTAATTTTTTTAAATTATAATTAAACCATAGTTGCTTTACATGTCATGAAGTTTAATAGTTCGGGTATTACTCATCAGCTAAGTTGCTTGCTATCAATTTTATGATTTGTACTCGTCTAACATTTAATTTAAATCCTATTTAAATATCTGAAACAAAAATATCTAAGCATAAAATAAAACTGCACCATCCTCTTTTAGGGGGGGTGTTTTCTTTTTTGGTTGAGTCCAAATTATCCACCACTAATAGCAGTAAGTAATTTTCTTGCACGTTAAACTTTTCAAAACAGCTTTAGTGCTAATTACGAGACCCGCTTCATATGCACAGTCAAAAATTAAATCTAAGTAGATGTTTGAAAAAACCAACTAAGTGTCAACTATGTTAGATTTTTTGCTGTTTAACCATTCTTGCTGTTTCCGTTTTTCAGCCAGCGGCAGCAGCCTTCGAAATTTTATATTTTAATGTTTTTCTAAAACTAGGCCGGTCCAATAGGACCCAACAATGACGGATGAGCCCATTATAATTTAAAATTTTTTTGATGAAATAATTTAAATATCTTTATTCCACCTTTCAAGTTTCAATGGTTTCGGCAAGAGTGGAAATGACCAAATTCACAAGCCATCCATTATCCATGATTTATTGGTATTCGACTGTTTTTCTTTCAAGGAAAAAAAAATCAAGTTTTCACGTTTCGGCTAAATGGAACCTTTTTTCTCTATCTTTTTTATAGGAAGACAGTTTTATTAAAAGAAAAGTAAAACAATATACTTCTCCGGTCCTAATTATAAGACCCAATTGACTTATTTGAGGAGATTAAGAAAGTAAGTTAAGTTAGTTATTTATAATAAATAAGTGTTGTCATTCCTAAAATATCTTTGCTAATTAAGTATATTGGCTAAAACTATCATTATTAGAAGGATTATTTTGGAAAAAAATGTATAAATATAAGAAACAAAATGGATTGGGGTCTTATAATTAGGACCAAATAAAAAGTCAAATGGGGTCTTATAATAAAGACCGGAGGAGTATATAAAAATTGTACTTTATTACGACGGCCAAGACAACGAAAGACCTGTCTAAACCCAATTATTAGCAACACAAACCGAATAAAGTCAGCTAAAACATTAAACAAGATTGACACCAATAAAATTATTACCGCCGTAAACACATACAATGCCCATATTACAAATAAAAATGAAAACAAAGACAGTACCGCAGCATAAAGAAGGACCCAAATCAAAAATTCAAAACAACGTCGAATTAGCGTCAGCATTGCATGCACGAACAACAAAGTTGAAGAGGAGAATGGCTAGCAACTTCCTCTACACGTGATAGCGCGAAGCGCTCCATGTGATACTACGTTCTTTTCTTAATATAAAAATTAATTTGATATTTAATTTAATTATAAATATAATATCATAATATATTTAATCTTTCATATTTATCTATTTTTTAAGATAATTATCATAATAGTTGCACATTTAAATGCTTTATCAAATAGTAGTCATGGTTAATATACAGTAAGGATATTTTAAAAAAGATAATTTACTTGTTATAAATAATAAATTTAATTATTTTTTTAATATATTCAAATTAGTTAATTAATTTTTGCCGGAGATAGTATTTCTTACCAACTCTCACTTAGGTTTACACTCTCAATTAAGAAACTTAACCACGAAAATTATATTCGCCCGATCACTAGAAACTAGATAACAATGGCGTCCACAACACTTTTCCTGAAAAAATAGATAAATATAATAGACAAAATATATTAGAATCTTATATTTAATATTAAAATAAAAATCAAACGAGCTATTATATTAAGGATCGAAAGTAGTATTATTTAACCTGTTATAATTGATAAGTCCTCCTCCTAGCTATATTTGCAATGAAAAAACTTAGCTGTTGTTCATTATATGTTTTAAATATTGTTATCCAATTAACATTGGAAGAGAACTTGTCCACTTTTCCCTCACTCTCCCGTCCTCTGTTTCTTATTTTCATCATTAGATCAACTTTTAATGATTGAAATTTAACATTTTATTCTAGTATTATTATAATAAAAAAGTAGATAAATAAATTTAAATTATTAAAAATTGATACGAAGAGTTTAAGTTTCATAGAATAAAAAGTAAAGCGTAAAAAATATTTGAATAAAAGTAGACAGTCATAAACTGTTTCAATTAAATTTTATCAGTCTAAATTTATTTATTTTTATTATCCAATATTATAATACTATTGTTATAAAATATTGGTATTAAATCTCAACCATCAAGAAATAATTCAATGATAACGATAAGAAGTGAAAAGGAAATCCATCCAACAAGAAAAGTGAAGAGATTCTCTTCCCACCTCGCAGTGGCAGTGGTGGAGAGCTTAAACTTTTTTTCAAGGAAAAAAATACAGGTATTTTGATAACTGAGTATGAAATTTATTTACACCAAAAGACTCAAGAGACTGGAGGGTAAGATTAGCATTTCATTGAGACTTCAGTGTAGATACATCTCTTATGAGAAACCAGTCAGTAATTTTCCCAAACAAAAAATGGCCATCCGGGACATTCAGTCAGAAAAGAAAAAGAATCTGAAGGAAAGAGATTGAGTCATCTGGGTAGCTTCCCCGGCAGGGCGTCTCACCTTCTCCTTGATCTCCAAAAAATTGCAGATGGGTCGGGGCAGATTCGGTACGGAATTTTTGTTGGAGAGGTTTCTGGTACCCTGCAATTCAGCTCTAAAACTGCTCTGTTAGAGGCTTATGCGCCAACAAATCTCTTATTATGCCCCTAAATTGCTTCATCTGTAACTCGAATTCCATAAGGAGAAATCTTCTCATCGAAACCGCAAAAACAAATTTATTTCAAATGCACATTCATATGAATGTTGACCTCACATCATCATCTGAAGAAGGAATTCCGTTGTATCACAACTATTCTCTGCCCCAACCCCCCAACTCTCTTTTCTCACAGTAGAATTAAAACTCCAGGACACACAGCATAAGCATCATCCGCACTAGCGTTTGAGTATCAAATGCTCCCCAAGAAATTGAAATTTTGTTGGGTAGAAATGATTTGCAGAAGGAGCAGGAATTTAGGCCCAATGGCTGCCTGGATTTATAAAAGCGGTCAAGTGTAGTGATAATTTTTTTCCAAAAAAAAATGTCATGTTATTTTCATATCTTTATTTTTCTCTATACACTTTTCTCACCCCTCTATACTTCCCCTGGATGATATACTGTTAACACACATCGGCTGGATCCAAATCCAAGGAAAATTCGTCCCCATTTATACTTTGTTAAAACAAAGTAATTGTCGATTAATATTCCGAAGTTGACTCAATTATCACAAAAGAAAATTCAATTAAAATTTAAGATTATTACATATTACATAATTTTTACGAAAAAATGAAACAACTCTTATAGCAAAGCTTAGTATAACTTCAGTAGGATTCGCTCTAATGTTTACTTATTTATAGACCAGTCACCTAAAAATCTCCCAGGAAATATGACTGATAAAATCCTTCCTCTGGATAAGAGGGAGCAGTTGGGTTCTGAATAGTTGTTCCTCTTTTACTGGGTAGATGGGATAAATAATCTAACGTTGACAAATTAATTGAGAGGTGATGAAGATTAATTGTCAGGGAACTCACTGTAATGCAGCAAGATGGATTTGAGAAAAGTCCAAGTTGGTTGAGCTGTCTAACACCGCTGCTGCAGAAACCGTGGGCCTTAATGGGGACGCAGGAGGTTGCCTGATGGCAAGTACTCTGCAGCTGAAGTTGCTGGCAATACTACTATGGGCCATTGCCAACCTACGCCGAATGAACGAATATAAAAACTGCTGTGAGTTGGTACCCAAAAAAAAAAAACTGCTTTGAGTTGCGTGATGTCTCCTAGAATTACTAATTGCTAATTACTAAAACAACCAAAAGTGCAAGCCACAAGACAAAGACACCAAACTGAGGCGCAAACTCCAATAAACGTCAATAGTGGGTATGCATAATGTATCTGCTGGATGCGGTTCAATCTGCCTAATATATATAGATATGCTTGCCATATGTGGGTAGCATTGTATGAAGATTCCTGATCAAAATGACGCATCAGGGGAAAGGCCGAACAGGGCCATTCGCTTTTTGACTCAGCAACCAAAGCGATTTCACAGTCACAGCCAGAAGAAAAGCAGCCCTATTCTAATTTCTATCAAAGAGAGTTAAACTTACTTTTCATTAAATTAATTTCTAAAATGCTCGCATTATTACAATTCAAAAAGTGGGGCCCAACAGCCTTTGGCATTTTGTTTTTTTGTTACCATTAAGAAGGCACGTGCTGGTGCCAAAGTTCTGTGTGACAAATTTCTGAAGCTCAACAGGATACTCCTTTCCGAGAAGAGCACGCGACAGGCAAATGCCAACCTTAGGTCCCCCTAACCCCATTTATAATCTTAGACAGACGAAAGAAGAAAAAATGGTTCCAGAGCCATTAGTCAAAACATGAAGACCCAATATCAAACCGAAACTCTTCTGGCCCCACCAAAAAAAAAAAAAAAAACGACAACAAATGATGACCACTCTATACCCATGAGGGAGAAGTTGACCTTCCAATCAGAACCTTACCCACTTTTCTTCTTTCCCCCGTAGCAAATCCAGGTAACTTACTGATCTTCAACCGAATCAAAATGACAATGAAGAAGCCTAATTTGAATTTGTCCCAGACGCTACAAGTTATTAAAACAAAGAGGACCCATCTATTAAAAGCAGGTCGTCGTCGTCGTCAATGATTCATCATGACTATATCGTGTCTAATAGTACTGGTTGAGTTTAATTCTCAAACGCCCCTGGAACTTAACTCAAAACTAGGAAGATGTGATATTGTATAAATTGGCATTGGACTTACTTGTAAAGAAAACTGCGATCATGAAGCCCAACGACAAGCATGGAAGCTTGAATCTCTCGCACGGTTTTGGCGATCTTGATCCCTTCTTGGTCCCCTTCGGTGACAATAATCTCAACCTTTGTCTGCAACAGAACCCTAAGATTATGGCACATACCCATTAATTTGCAAAAGGAAAAATCAGTAATCGAAGAGCAATGAAGTTAACTCTACAGAATCCTTGACCCTGAAAACGGACGAGGCTTACACTGGGGAAGGTATCGCAGATGTGTTGGAAGGAGAGGGCCAACTGGAAGCCCTTGAGACGAAGAAGACGAGCTTTGTTCTTGCTTCTGGATCTTGTGGGAGGGTAGACATGGAGCAGGGTGACGATATCACCGCAGCGAACGATGTTATGAAGAGCCCATCGAAGAGCAATTCTAGCTGCTTCCACGTCTTCCACCACCACTGCTATTTTCCTCAAATCCCCCATTTTCTCCGATTCGCTCCCCGGCGAGAGACGATGGATTTTGTATCTTTGTAGAATTAATTAATAAAGAGGGCGTCGTGGTATGCAGTACGGAGTCCTCTCTCCTTTTCGTTCAATCCGGATTGACTGCGAGTTTGATATAACTCAACCGGCTGCCATAAAGTTCCAAGCACGAATAAATTATAATTTTGATAAAAGAAAGCGACTGCGACTTTGCCTGCTATAATCAATTTCACAAGTTAAGAAATTGTGTCCATACACGCAGACTCCGACTCATTCCCGTACCCCGGTTGATGCTTTAATTTTTTTTTTTTTTCATTTGATCAAGATTTTCTTTTGAGGCTATTCCAAACAAATACGCTTCCTAGGATTTTCGAACTTTGTGTTGCTTTAATTTTTGTGCTCCAAGGTGGATGCTTCCTTCCTTTGTTACCCAATACTCTCTCTATTATATGATTTAATTTTTTTTAATAAGTCTGTTTTTTTTATAAGTTTTTTTTAGTTTGTTTGAGTATTTAATATATTATTAATTATTTTAGTCATAATTTAATATATTTAATATTTTTTTAAATTTATCTCACTATTACTCTTTTAGATTTATTCATTTATATATTAGGGGTATGTTTTAAAAAAATTATATTTGTTACATATTAATTACTTTTAACTAATTTTAACTATTTTATTAAATCACATAGTTTAGTTAAAAAGATCTCATGATAAGAAACGGAGGGAGGGAGTAACTTCCAATAACTTCTACATTAGTTACCGGGAGTTTTTTTTATTATAATAATATAATAAAATCCAACATGGGAAAATAAGATATTAAATATGAGTAGGCACGATAAATTATTCAATACGTTAATGTATATTAAAATATATATTAGATTGATATTAAATAACAATAATATCGAGGATAAAAATTAAACTTGAATAATAAATACTAATTTTAGATACTTTATAGTACTAAGATATTAAATATGAGTAGGTACGACAAATTATTCAACACGTTGATGTATATTGAAATATATATTAGATTCATATTAAATAAAAGTAATAGCGAGGATAAAAATTAAAATTGAATAATGAATACTAATTTTAGATAATTTATAGTAGTATATTATTAAACCAAAAATAAAACTACCTTCCTCTTTTTCAAGCAAAAAAACAAAAAACAAGCAAGTACTTTCAACAAAAAAATTGGCAAATTACCGTTAAGACTCCCTAACTAAAAGCACTACCATTGAATATGTTAGTTTCCAAAAACAGATTTTAAAAGGACTTGAGAATAAAAACTATTAACTTTAAGGCTAGCACTGTAATTTAATTGTGCAGTCTAAACTTTTAATTCTTAAGTCCTTCAACAACAAAAAAAAAAACTGGATTTGTTATTTAACTACAGGTATTTATAATTTAAGGTCCTGAAGTGTACTTTTTGTAAAAAAGATCTCAATGAAAGTACAAATATAAAATTATTTTTCTAGTTAAAACTTTGTGATCTTTAAAATTACAATTGATGAATAATAATATATTACCTCTCGTCTTAATTATAAAATCTCATTTGTAATCTACAGATTTAGTAGTATACAAGTACTTTTCTTTTACATAAGAATACCGAGTTTTCTTAGAGACGCTCTGGACTTTCTAGTTCCTTGTAGCGTAGTTTTCTTGTGCTTCCCTTGTTAGCAAAACAAAGAATACCAAGTTTTAAATAATGAAACGCTTTTCTATTATACTTAGGTAAACTCCTTGACATCAGCTATGCCATAAGAATATTAGTTGTTCATTTGATGAGATGATCAATAATAGTTGACACGGTGAAAACTTTTTTTCCAAAAAAAAAATGGTGAGATGCAAACTTAAAAAATATGAGGAATGAGTGGATTAGGTGAAACTGAATTTTAGAAAATGCGATAGTGGCGCTGCAAAATTGTATTACCTCCGGTCCTAATTATAAAAGCTAGTTGATTAATTTGAGGAGATTAAAAAAGTAAGTTGAGTTAGTTATTTGTCCTAAATAGGTGTTGTCTTTCTTAAAATATCCTTGCTAATCAAGTGTATTGACTAGAACTATCATTGTTAGAAGGGTTACTTTGAAAAAAAAATTGCACAAATATGAAAAACAAAATAAATTAAAATCTTATATTTAAGACTAAAATAAAAATCTAAAAAAATCTTATATTAAGAAGCGGAGGTAGTATTAACTACCCGCACGCGTCTGAGTCTGTTCATTCATGGAGATGGTTCATCCGTATGTTATGATCTAGCGGCCAACAAGTGAAGGGATAATCAATGTATAAGTCCTTATAGTTTCAACTGATTTTTAATCAGGTCTTTATAATTTTTTTTCTTTTTATCAGATCCTTATACTTTCATATATTTTTAATCAAGTCCTTATAATTTTTTTTCTTTTTATCAAGTCCTTATTGTTTTACTTTGTTTTTAATTAGCTCCTTGTAATTTTTATTCTTTATTTTACAAATAATAACATTTTGAAAATAATAAATTATTGTAACAATCTTATGTTAATATTTTTTTAAATTTTTAGTTAAACAAATATATTATTTATTTTCAATTCGAATTTTTATAATTATAAAATTCAAATTATAAAAATAAATTTATCTAAAATTAAAATATGATTATAAATAATTTATATTTAATTATAATTATTATTCTGATTGTTTATTAATTACTAAATGATTATATTAATTATTTTGTCCAATTATATAATTATTAATTTAAAAATGAAATTAATTTTAAAGAATAAAGTTAATAAATTATTTTTCAAAAACTACAAAGCACCTAATTAAAAATAAGTGAAACTATAAGGACCTGATAAAAAGAAAAAAAAATAGAAGGACCTAATTAAAAACACACGAAAGTAAAAGGATCTGATAAAAAGAAAAAATTTTATAAGGACCTAATTAAAAATCAGATAAAACTATAAGGACCTGGAGATTAATTATCCCACAAGTGAATAACAAAAGTACAAAGTCAAATCATATTAGCAGGGATTTTGGCCCTCCCAAAAAAAAAAAAAAAGACACATCTGGGGGATTCTTTTTTTTTTTTCTTTTTTTATCCTTTCAATTTAATATAGCATATGACCATTTGGATGGTTAAATTAGGATGAAATTGTTTTTTAAATATTTCTAAAATGACATTGAAAAAAAAATTCATATGCTTCTATAGAAATGTTTTCGAAATAAAAATGACTTATAATTCAAATAAAATTATAACAACTTGCATATTACCCGCATTTGATAACATCATCATAACCTCCAACTACTCCTCGCGTTTCACTCTGATCAGTGATCACCCTTCCTATTTTATTCTGCCACTTCACATCGCACACAGCATCGTATTCATTTATTTCATTACTTGGCGTTATTCACATCTCGCCGCGAAAAGGCCGAAACGAACGTCACGCACACATATATGCTTATATACACATATCTATTAAATATTCGTAATTTTATATACATGTATTTGATTCATTTTTATTCGAACTCAAACAAATAGCAAATGGCTGTTGAACCCCTAGCTTAGTTTGAAATATGTAAATAATAAATCAAATGGCAGTATGTGAGAGTTACAAGTATCTCATTGTCAACTACTCCCTCCAGTTTAAAATATAAGATAAAGTTACATCGTTTACATTTATCAAAAAATCAATTAAAATCAGTTTTAGACAATAAATATGTAAGGCATATGTTTTTTCCTTAAATATGTTCTTATTAATGAAAGAATAAGTAAAAGAAATAATCAGTGAAAAAAAGAAAGAAAGAGAACATATGGAGGATAAAAGATGAGAGAGAGTGTGTCGTGACTGTATGTATTAGGAGTGTAATTGAAAAAAAACTCATTAAGTGTTTATACAAAAGCGAAATGTTATCTTATAAAAAAACCAAACCCCTCTAATAAAATTTATTTTATATTTTGAACTGGATGTAGTATTTTTTTAATGAAAACTTAGCAATGCTGAATGAAGTTATTTTCTTACTAAACATCATGTGAACAAAGTGAAATTTAGCTTTTCACAGAAATTTCATAAGCAGGCCGGAACGAGTAATTCAAGATTTTTGAAGCTCTTTTTTCACATTACATCACGAAAATTTGTAATTGGTAGAACTATTCACGTAAATCTAGTGCTTTAAATCGAACTCCTATTTCCATTTTACCTAGCTACAGTGTTCACAAAATCCTCATGACTGCATGGGGCTGGACAATTTTCATGAGGAAGGTGAAGAGATGAGGTCCCTATTGTGTTGCTACAATTTTTTTGGGTCATGATAAAGTCCTCACTTTTAAATGAGAGAAACTACAAGCTACTAGTCCTTGTCATTTTTGCATATCTCATCAATACAATTGATGCCATATTAGCTAGGTTACTCAAGTTGCTTCATCCTTTGATCACATCACTATCGGTGCTTACAAGAAGAACTTGATTAATGATCTTGTCCATTTTAGTTAGATAGGCACCTTGAAAAGGATATAAACACGCTCCTTCAATCCTTCTCCAGTCACCCTCTGTATAAATTTGATATACTACCTATTTCCCATTTCCTTGTCCCTACTATACCAACATTACTTGCATAGCTTCTTTTCACTTTATATAATTGATGTTTTCATTTTTTAAAAAAATGTCTCGTGATTAACCGAAGTTTTGATGTGCCAATTTTCATTTTTTTTAAAATGCTATCCGAAGAAACGGAAAAGTAAAGAATATATTTTGCGGAGTGCACCCAATTTTAAACAGATCATTCAACACTGGGCGGTGGTTGAGCGTTTGCATCATACTCTTTCCTGGAATGACATGTTTTTATTTAGAGAAAACTAATACGAATATCCTTATATTTTTTTTCCCATTTTGAATCAGGTTCTTAAGCTTTTTTTTTCCTTTTTTATTAGCTTTTTTAAGTTTGCACTGTTATATCTATTGCTTCTCATTTTTCAAAATCATTTGATGGGAATGAAAGGACCGTTGACAAACATTAGAGAGGGTATGTTTAGAATAGTTTATAAATAATTTTTCAATTGTGATATGGAATATAAGATAAGTATGTAAAAAAAGTTTTGTCTTAACTTGTATAAAATCTAAATAGGCTCAAAGTATGAAGATTGCGGACAGGTCGTGGACTCTTGCTCATCCTTTCCCCATTCCATGGAGCTCTTCTCCGGCACGAGTTGAAAATGAACAAGCCAGGCGACCAAGGGCGGGGATACTCTTAGGTTCTTGATCATCCTAAATACTCAACATCTTCTCCCGTGCAAGTGCTACTGGACAAACAATCAGAAGAGTGCCATTAAAATCCTATGTCAGAGGAACAAGATATTCCAATAGCTTCATATTATATAAAATTAATAATATTTCTTTCTGCAATTTTGGAATTATTTGGTGTAGTGAAATCCAAGCTTGATTCTTGTTTTCAGCCATCTGCGTTTGAGAGTTGGATAATCTTCCTTTTGCCTGTACCCTCTGCGACCAAGGGCGTTTCATTTTATATGGCACAATGGATGGATTAATTTGAAACTTGCATTGAGGGGAAAATAGAGTTGTGTTGTGGGTGCTCCACTGCTCCCAATGAGCCCCTCCTCCTCCTCCTCCTCTTTTTTTTTTAAAAGTATAGATGGCAAGGTCTAAGCCTTGTGGTAAGCTAAACTAGAGAACCCAGAGAAATACTATCCTACATCATATCCACCAAAAGCCTTGACGGGCACTCTGGAGGAGGTTGATGTAGGAGAACAAAATCTTCCAACATAATGTTAGCATGTTTTGCAAGAATATCAGCCCATTGGATTGCTGCATGTGGGACAAGTGTCATGGTGATGTCTTATTCGGAGAAAACCATTTCCCTAACTTCCATAATTTGAGATCTGAGCGGATGTTGCAAGCCTCCGTCATTCATAACCAAGTGGTAGGCTTTTAGAGAGTCGGTACAAACGTGAATTCGATTCCAGTTCAGTTACTTGCATATTCACAAGCCTGCTAGGATAGCTCGTAATTTCGCTGCCGGGGGGAGAAGCCTAGCTTTTCCATAAAGAGCTGGCCGCTCTCCCTCTAATCTCTGGTATTCTTGCTCTCTTCAACCCCTATCTGCAATGTTAATACTGTCTAACATTTGATAACAGTATGTTCATTCCTATTAAACGATTTTAAAGAATAAAAAACAACGAATATAACAGTGCAAACTCAAAGAAGCTAATTTAAAATAAAAATCTTCGAGGACCTCATTCAAAACGGGGAAAAAAGCTACAAGGAAATCCACATTAGTTTTCCCTTTTATTTATAATTAAGAGACATCAATAATGTCTAAAAAGTTTTGTATTATTTTTGTTCTTATTAGTTGTCGGTTAGTAGAACAAATCCACAGTCAGAAGAATTGGAAAACAAACACGTCATCACAATCACATCATATGCATGACCTGTCTAAGCAAACTCGTTTGAGTTCAGAGGCATCATGCTTCTGACATTAAGATTGCAGGTATTGGATTTAGTTCCCCCCCCCCCCCCCCAAACTTTTTTAGTAGTCTCCAAAAGTAGTTACTAATTGTCAATTTTTATTCAAAATCTGGTACACAAACAGTATGCGGTATCCACGGATCCCCCTGACATTGAAGCTGAAGCTTCTTGTTCTCCTCACCTCCTCATCTTTGTTCCTCCCTTCACTCTCTTCCCCTACCATTCCTCTGTACCCAAACGTGAATGGCTACGCTGTGTTCTTATGGGTCGGAACTCCTACCCAAATCCTCTTAGCTCGGGTCGACACGGCCACTCCTTTCTCGTGGGCTCAGTGCCAGCCTTGTAGCGCCTGCTACCCTCAGACCCGCCCTCTCTTTGACTGTCGCGCATCCGCCACTCTCCGATACCTCGCTGGCGACTCCCCCACTTGCAGAATCCCTGACATGCGAGACGTCTTTTTGTTTCCTCAAGGCTCGTCCTGTCGCTTCGATCTCAAATACGCAGAGAAATCTCGATCTTTAGGAAGAGTCGTGACCGATACGTTGACTCTGGTCCATTCCGACACAATCCTCGAGCAATTCGTCATGGGGTGCGCGGATTCTCACGAGGGCCCCTTCAGCGCTCACTTTTCTGCAGTTCTGGGGCTAGGTCGTGGGCCTCTGTCTCTGCAGAGCCAGCTTCGTGCGGAGGCGTTTTCTCTGTGCCTGTCATCCGAAAAACCCTCTGTCATGAGTTTTTATGGCGCCTCGCCTCCAAAAGAGCACTATGATGGCAACTCTATTGCGGTTCCTCTGAGCCAGAAGGATCGATATCCTCACTATTACTTTGTGCAGTTTGTGGGCGTAGGTGTTGATGGGTTCATGCTGCATGTTCCATCCAGGGTTTGGGGCTATGGGCTGAACTACAATGGCGGGGTTATTGTAGATACAGGGTCGAATCTGATGCGTTTGCCAACCGAAGCATATAGTGTTTTTAGGTCGGAGATTAGAAGGAAGATGGGGAATTTCAGGCATAGGTTGGTGAGACCAGAGGGGTTGGAGTTTTGCTACGAAGAAGAACCTGCAAATGTTTACCCCGAAATAGAGTTCTATTTTGAGAATGGGTGGATCGAAGGTGAGAATTTTGTTACGTTGAAGCTGAGTGATGAACAGATAGTCATAAGGCCAGAAGAAGGGGTTGTTTGCTTAGCGTTTAGGGAAGGAGAAGATCCGGCTTTAACGGTCATTGGGAACACTCAGTTGCTGGGGACCCTATTGACATACGATCTGGCCAACGATCTTGCAATTTTCACACCCACTAAGTGCTAGATGATGATGCTATTTTGTGTGGGTGGGCTTTCGGATTACACAAACAGAACGGAGTTGCGAACAGAATATCCCACGCTTTCAGTTATTGGTTGCAGGGTTCAGTCACCTCCCTGTAATGGAAGCACACCCTGCTCATTGAACTTGAGAAACGGGGCTCACTTATCTAGCCTCTTGATATCAAAATAGAGCACCGAGCAGAAGCCTTTTACTTCATTTCCTAGTACTTTTGGCAATGACATGCTCTTGGATGAAATTCTGAGATTGCAAGATCTCTGTAGCAGACAGGGACGTCCATTTGCTTCCTCTTTTTCCTCTAAAATACTGAAAAGTAAAAAGTCGCCCATCCCATATGATAATGTTTTCCCCTTAAAAACAGGATTCTCACCGGGGAAAAAAAAAAAAACAGTAGGATTGGTTTATAAAATAAAAATCCGTAGACCAATTGATTTACCTTAGTTTGTTTAAAAACATAGAGGAAATTAACGGGCGCCTCCCTGGCAGAAGAATTTTGACGTCTTAAAATAAGATTTTCCTGTTACGAATGGGTGCTTGGCTAGCAGTTGACGCCGAGAAACTTCTTCATAGTACCAGTACCGGACTTGTGTTCAACAGTCAACTTCTTGCCAATTTCTCGTGCTCAGCTAAATACTTAACTGAGAGAAACTTGCAGTTTTGTCAGGCGACCTAGTCTTGAAAAAATGGTAGATGTCATGTACATCCAAATCGAAGTTACTTTTGTTCAAAGATAACTTAAAAAAATAATAGCACCACGGGATAAAATGATGGCATCCAACTGACAAACACCAAGGTCGCCATCTAGATTACTCGAACTATAAAGAAAAGGTACTGAATCACATAGATAACACGAATTTGCTTCGCTGATGTTATGTATCTAAGTCTCTTCATTGCTTCCCAATTCTGGATGCCCAAGTTTTCCTTTGATTTCAGTAATAGCCAACATTTTTCGCTTGATTTTGTGTCTCCTCTCCAGCATCACCTTGACCCAAAAAGACAAGTCGACCTGCATTGTACATAGTTTTGTTTCATCAAAAGCATTTGTAAGACATTAAATGACCCATTGTACATTGAATAAACTAAAAAAAATGTGCATAAACATAACGCTTGTTTCTAGATTAGAGTTTTCATATCTCGCATTCTGCGATGAAAACAATCTGTTTTCCCCAACTCAATCAAACAGGCCATTTTGATGTATCGTCCTCAACACCCTTCTTTTATGTTAAGCATTTTTTTCCTTTCGATAAGTCCATTGTTCATCAATCCGAAACCACCAAAAATCCTCAATTTTGTCTAATCTACGCAAACAATTCCCGTTGGCCTCTAGCTGCAATCTCCGAAAGATCCATACTTCATGATATCACAAGTATATCTGACATCTCAAGCAATATAATTTCTTTGATTTTGAAAGTAACAGAGCAACATATATGAACATAGAAACGACCTTAATTAGTCTAATTTCTTCAACTCGATTCGTTTGATGGACAAAAGCAACATATAAACAACCGTAATATAGACGTTAATGAAATCTCCAATTCCCTGCTTCATGAATTCACTTCTCAAAAGAAATGCACCAAGCCTAACATCATCTCTAAAACCCCATGTTTCCTTTGGCCTGAAATTAAAACCCACTCTTTGACAATACAAAAATCACTCCCAATGGTATCTCCCAATCCATTGTGATTAAAATTCTCCAGTAACCCATTTATAGACCTTTCCCAACATTTCATGCGCAAAAATACCAAATCATGGCGGAATTATCTTATCACATTCATCCAGGCGAACAGAGTTGCAAAAATAACAGGGAAAACACAACTTAATCCTCAAAGTTTCACCCAATATGCAATTTAGTCAGTGTTTTAATTGGTATTCGCTCCAGTCCCTACAGTTTCAAAATGTCAAATCCTTACGTTTTGAATACGTTCAAGTAAACATGAGCTATCAATATGAGAAGAAATAATCAACAAAAGAACCCTGCATCTCAGGTGAAATTTTATTTGATGTTTATACGATGTTCATTTCATTTGATGTTTTGAAACCATAGGGACCGAATTAACACCATTAAAACCCAGGGGCCAAATAGCAAATTAGATGCAAATATGGAATTTTGAGGACCAAAACTTCCCTTTCCCCTAAATAATAGCATAACTTTCTTTAATATTTCTCTCCTTAGATCCTCTGGAATTTATTGTTATTTTGTCGTCTCATAAAATTGAAGTTTATGGGCTTGATGGTTCGTTAAAAGGAAAAAATGTATTTTTTCCTCTACTTTTTCAACTTTAAAAAGACTTTTCCTCCCTCTTATCAGGTCTCTAATTTATAATAAATTCGAATTTAATGTGTGTTTGTGTGCATGAGTTTGAGAGAGAAATGAGGATTAAGCAGAGATGCTAAATAAAAAAAATTTCTGAACAGGTGGGAGCCAGAAGTGTAAATTGTCATCATCTGGTTCAGATGGATTTTTGATATAATAAAAAAGAAATAAGAATAATGTAATACAGCTTCACTAGTCTTTTAAATGAAAAATGGCTTGTATAACTGATTAAAATTCTTGGTTTCTCAGCTTCACAGTTGCAGCTAATTTCTCATGAGAAAATTAGGTAAACCTTTACCAGAATAAAAAAATTTATTAAAATTAGGGCACCATGATCTATGATTTGTAATTAAGAATCAAAGGCCAATGGACACTCAAATATGGAGTGAAATACGCATTGGGATAATCTAAGAAGTACCTTCAAGATAGCACTTCGATTATAATGCGATTAATGTATATATATGGAATGAACAGTAAATTACCATTTCGACGAATCGCAATTTCTCTAATTCGACGAACAAGACCAGTTATTGGATCAGTGAAAACTTTAGTTTCCAGATTTCCCTCCACATATAATATTGACCTGCAATTAGCAATGTACCAATCATTATCTTCAATATTTGTTGCTAATAATGCTGAAAGAGATTAAAGTAGCAAAAAATATCAGCTCCACCTAGCAACAAAGTAATTTGTTAAAGACAGCAATAGTAACCATTGAGATTCAAGAAAGTTTAGAAAACATAATCTGATAACAACTGCACAACGTTCTTCCCACAAAAGAATCAAGGGGCACAAAATCCAAAAGAAAGCCAATGGCACACTCAAACTGGTTAACTTCTTTCACCTACCAAACCAAGATGAGCAGAAAATGTGTTTCTTTATCCAGGAATCAGATAATTCCTCCCTTTCCTTTCAGTTTCCTCAATGTAGAATGTCTTCCATTAGTCCATAATGTATGTAAGTATTATATCAAAGCAGTAAGGTAACCATACCAAGAAAACAAAACGTGCATTGAAGTTGAATGTTGATAAAATTTAACTTCCAGTATGCAGTCAATATGCAAGTTTAACTTTATCATATAACTGAAAGCAAGTTCCTACTTCAGTCAACACACAAATATTATAGTACACTGGCAATCCATTATTGTATTAACCAGCCACAATAGCTAGTGTCACAATACTAGAAGCCATGGAAGAAAACCCATCTCACAATTAATTCATTCTCATGATAGTGTCATGGTCAAGCATCTTTGTTTACTTAACATCGTCAAGCAGAAGGAACAATACACTAAGACCAACTAATTATCATCATCAACTCCCTTCAGTCGCATAAAAGGAAAACTTTGAACAATGTTACAATCCACAAGTTGAAATTCCTGTACTATCCCCAACAAAGGTTGAAACATATTTATAAAATATCAAAAAGAATATAAGGTACTAAAACTTATACAGACCCTGACTAACACTATGGTATACAGACCCTGAATAACACTATGGCTGGACAAGTTTCCTTTATAAAAAATTAACCAGAAAATCTACTTCTAGATTTAAAAAGTAACAAAATACCTTGCCTTCTTTTAACAATTCTACATAAATAACCTAACTCGATTTCCTCAAAAGTCCAAAATTAGCGCATCAGTAAAAGCTACAATTCTCCCACATTGAAATAATCTACCCTGATCCTGATCTGCATGTAAACTACATTGCAAGCTTCTTCTCAAAATGTTAAGAAGCAGCGAACAACTATAAAAGTCACAGAATAAGCAAAATGTAACACTATTTATCTGCTGCGCATGCTCTTCCATAAAAGACTTTCCTGTAGATCTTGCCCTTTACTCACATCGCCTAATGATTAAGATTGTAACCGCAAATTTTGAGAAATTCACTTCGCAACTAAATGGTTCTTTTGTTAAAATGATGCAAGATATGTAATCCTTCAAGTTAATTGAAGAGGGTATCTCAGGATTCTAGTCTAAACCTGGGAACAACATGTTTCATGACGATATCTCCCAATCTCTGAGGATAGATCGAAACCCGATGCCACTGGACGGAACACTTGTTCGCATACTCCCTGGGATCCTCATTATCCAAGGGCCTTCGGTTATTGCGAATCCCACCAGTTCCCATCGATAGCTGAGTCACCACCGTGCCACTTCTTAGCCTCTTCTGCAGTGGAGGCTGCCCTACCATCCCCACCAATATAGCCTACACAAAACGCATACAAAACTCCCAATGAGAGCTTAACCCTTCAAAACGCACAATTGAAACCAGAAAAAGCAGCTAAAAAATTCAAACAGCATCAAAGTACCTTATAAATGCCAGCATCGAGGCCATTCTCGAGAAGCCGATCAAAGACAACTCTTTGTTTGTTGGAGTCCGGTGAAGATGAGTCGGGTGAAGAAGAAGGGGTAGAAGGTGCGTCAATGTCCGAGTCAGGGGGTAGCTCTTCCAAATTCAAGTCGTCTTGGTGGTCAGAGGAGGGATGGTTTGTGCAGAAATGTTGTGAAAGATGAAAAGGCGTTCTGGGGATCGAAAGCAACGGGCGGTAGAGTCTCCTTGAGAGGAAGGTGATGGAGTTAGACATTTCGTGCGATTTTTGTGAAAGGAAGAATGGAATCTCTACTTTGGGGATCGTTGCGGCCTATACTTGGCCTAAACCCTGGTGCGGAGAAGGCAAAACCCTGTTACTGCTTCGCCCAAACTCAGGAAATTGATCGGTAGCTTTTTAGCTGGTATAAAAAAAAAGGGAAAATGGCAAAAAAAACCCTCCAATATGCAAAATGGCTGATAAATCACCTGAATAAGTGAAATTGCTCACAAAGACCGGTCTCAAATTGCCATTATAAATTATGGCCAAATTACCAAAATACTCTCTTTATTTTTTTTTTTAAAAAAAGAACGTCACTGCCTCTCCGGAATTCCGCCAAAGCTCTGGCACCCTAGCTGCCAACCACTGCGGCGGCCTTCTTTTTTTTTTTTTTTTGCAACTGTTTTTTTTTTTTGAAATAGGAGGGAAGTGAGGTTGGGTGGATTTGATCCCCCAACGTAATGCTTCCTAAAATTAGGAATGACCATCGAGCTAACAAATTTTTGCTAAATTATAATACAAAAAAAAAATATAAGTTAACTCATTTACTCTTATTTCAGGTGATAACAACAATACATTTAGAAATAACAAGTTCTGATTGTAAAATAACACGTCTGAAATGAAAATTTAACAATATGTTTTTTTATAACAACAAATTTTGTTGCAGGTGATAACAACAATACATTTGAAAATAACAAGTTCTGATTATAAAATAACAAGTATGATATTAAAATTTAACAACACTTTTTTTATAACAACACACTTTGTTTTCAGGTGATAACAACAATACATTTAGAAATGACAAGTTCTGATTATAAAATAACAAGTTTGGAATTAAAATTTAACAGCACCTTTTTTTTTTATAACAACACATTTTATTCCAAGTGATAACAACAATACATTTGAAAATACTAAGTTCTGATTATAAAATAACAAGTCTGAAATTAAAATTTAACAACACATTTTTTTATAACAATTAATTATTTTATACTTTTGAAAAATAAATTATTTATAACTTATAAAAAGTATTTTTAATCTATTTAATTTGCTAAAAAAATAATTTTTATCTCCAATTTATAATCAGAACTTGAAGTATAATTTATTATAGATTAAAAATAATTTTTTATTGTTCAAATTTATAAATAAAATTTAGGGAAAATGGCAACACACTTTTTTAATTTTTTTTTTTAAATTTTTAATCTATATATCTATACAACTCATTATAAATCAAACTACTTCTTATAAATTATAAATAGTACAATTTATTGTAGATTAAAAATACTTTTTGATTGCTCAAATTTATAAATGAAATTTATCTCTAATTTATAATTAAAAATACTATTTTATTCTTTAAATATAAAAACTATTTTTAATATTTAAAGAATGAAATAATAAATTATACTATAATATTTAAATACTTAATAATAAATTTTAATATTTAAAGAATGAAATAATATAAAAATTTATACTATGATTTATAGATTAAAAATACTTAATTATAAATACTTTATAATTTATAAGAAGTAGTTTGATTTATAATGAGTTGTATAGATATATAGATTAAAAAGTATTTTTTAGAAAAAATAAATATATTAAAAATATTTTTATAAGTTATAAATAATTTATTTTCCAAAATCATAATATAAATAATTTTCTAAAAAAAATGTGTTGTTAAATTTTAATTCCAAACTTGTTATTTTATAATCAGAACTTGTCATTTCTAAATGTATTGTTGTTATCACCTGAAATAAAGTGTGTTGTTATAAAAAAAAGTGTTGTTAAATTTTAATATCATACTTGTTATTTTATAATCAGAACTTGTTATTTTCAAATGTATTGTTGTTATCACCTGCAACAAAATTTGTTGTTATAAAAAAACATATTGTTAAATTTTCATTTCAGACGTGTTATTTTACAATCAGAACTTGTTATTTCCAAATGTATTGTTATTATCACCTGGAACAAAAGTAAATGAGTTAACTTTTTTTTTATTATAATGTTAGCAAAATTTTGTTGGCTCGATGGTCATTCCTAATTTTGGGAAACATTAGGTTGGGGGATCAAATCCCTCCAATCTCACTTTCCCCCTATTTAAAAAAAACAGTTGCAAAAAAAAAACAAAGGAAGGCCACTGGCATCGAACCTCCGGCGCCAACAGCTGAATTCCGGAGAGCCGTGGCGTTCTTTTTAAAAAAAAAATTAAAGAGGGGTATTTTGGTAATTTGGCTATGATTTCATAATAGCAATTTGAGACCCGATCCTTGTGAGCAATTTCACTTATTCAGGTGACCTATCTGTCATTTTGCATATTGAAGGGTCTTTATTTGCTATTTTCCCTAAAAAAAGGAGTTTAATTTTTTAAGCTAAAAAAAATATATTTTTGTTGGCAAAACAAAAAATATATTTTCAGTCATTAAACTTAGTACAGTTAATCTTGAAAATTGCAAATTCAAAATGATAACTCAGTATTTAAATGCTTACATATTAATTTTTAATTTAAAATATATAAATTAAAAATATTAAAAATTAAATCCTATTGAAGTTGCTGTAAAACATAATTATTTTCCATGGCCAAATGTTTTAACATAGTAAATTTACCTTTAAATTTTCATTAAAAAATAATTTAAAAAATACTTCAAATTGTAACCTTTTAACTTTTAATTATGATATTGGATCTATATAAAAATTAATAAAAACGTTAATCCTTAAAATAATTATAATTTTTGAATGTTTTAATATATATTTTCAATATTAATTAGATAATTTTTTCAATAGTAAAAATAAGGAAAGAAAATTGTTTATTTCATAGTTATTAAACTGCATATAAATGATTGATAAAAGTAAGGTTTCATTTCAAATACTTTTTAATTTACATATTTTAAATTTAAAATTAGAGTTAATGTAAATTTGAGTCCCTCAATTTGGGTCAATTTTGGTATTGGACCTAGAATTTTGACTGTTGCAAAACATTGGTCCCTTATATCTTCACACTGTTATTTTGTCCAAGATGGTATGAATACTATTAACATGATGAGGTGGACTTATAAGTTGGCACAAACATGGATCTTATCTAAAAAGAAGAAGGAAAAAGGCAAATAAATGGGTTTAAAAGAACACACGATAGAGAAATAAGGTTCTGTTTAATACGAAGTATTGAAAATGAGGGATAAAACTTAGAATTAGGATTCAAAACACCTATTAAAAGAGTGTTTAGCATGAGATATTGCTTGTTACATATGATTAAACAAATCCATGTATGTGGGATTGGAGAATACTGTGAGAGGAAGTGATATTTTCCAATCCTACCTCTATGAGTTAATTTAATCCCATAAAATAAGTAATTAATTATATTAAATATTTTTCAATGATTTTTCTCAATTACAATCATAGTTCCTACCCCTCATTTTTAATGCTCTGTACCAAACAGAATCTAATGGCAGGTTTGGTTCAACGCATTGCATCTAAATTCCTTGTAATGCTGATGCAATGCCAACTTTCACACGTTTGGTTCGGACATTTAGGTTGTAAAGCGGATTACAAGATGCATCAAGATTACTTCAAATGATGTAATAGGGATTACACTATTAAAGGTCAAGAATAAGGATTACAACAGGTGGGAATTTGAGAAAATACATTATTTATCCTTGCATTTTCCATCATATTTCTCCACCCTGATCTCACTCATCTTCAAAATCTTCCTCCAGCTTTCACTCTTGGCCTTTCCACTTAGAGAGAGAGAAAGGTTGATCTAAAATGGTACTTGGAGTTCGAATAGATGACATATCGGAGAGGTGTTTCGAGAATTTCAGAACACAAAATGAATCAGTCTTCTGAACTTCGTTTTTGGTTTTTACTTCTTATTTTTTTGATAAATAGTTTTTACTTCTTTCTGGTTTTGATTCAATTTTGCTGGAAGAGATGCAACCCAAAATACAAAAGCTTGTCAGAAGAAAAGCAATAGACACTCCTATTCTCATGATCTGAAAAGAAGAACCTTGATCACCTGTGCGTGCTGTTTTGTGGGCCCATAAACTGATCAATGGAAAACAAAGAAGCTGCATTGACGGTCAGCGATAGATGAGGAAGAAGGAGAAAACAGATACCCAATTAAAATTTTATCTGAGTTTAGGGATATCTTTGTCCTTTTAGTTTTATTTGTGTTTAATTAAATACAAATAATAAATTAAATTTTATCATTCTTAATGTTGAACCAAACAATTTTATTGTAATCATCGTTATATTACATTACATTCCCAACTATTACATTCCATTGCATTCCCACATATTTCATGAACCAAAAGGGCCATAAAAGTACATTGTGGTTGAAATGGGAAAGAAAAGGGGTAAATGCAAGAGGAGGGTCGATGACGGCAGGGAAGGATGCAGGCCAGGAAGGTCCAGCGAATCAGTGTTCATTATCCTCGCTTCTCTTCTGGCACTATCCTGATTCACTCACATTCTCTTCTAGCTTGACAAGTCCATCCAATCCAAGCTGGTCTAATAATCAAGCTTACACACACAAAGACACACAAACTAATGCACCCCCTGTCAATCATTCATCCCATTCTATCTTGCATTTAAAGTCCCTTCTATGCTTTCTCCTCTCATGGAACAGGATGAAATGCCATGTTCAGAAAGGTTTTGATTCAACTCTCATGTCACATGTCCCTTCCCTCCATGACAATCAAACTTTAGATCCACCACAAAAGCAAGGACGTCAGTGGCTCTCAGATTTTAGAACCGTGGCAATGATGGATACTTCTCATCCTTATCTTTGCTTCCCACTGCATGAAGATGCCTTTATTTTATTAGCTTGTTTTTGGTCTCAAAAACAAAAACAAAAACAAACAGGGATGTAATTTGAGTTATAACTTGGCATTATTTTAGTCGGATAGTATGAATTTTAATCAACAGTATCATAGTTAGATATGATGAACTTACGGTTGCATATAATAGTAGTTATCATGGCATCATTAATAGAGCACACATTATAAGGTAACATCGGCACCTGTCAACATGAGATTTTCTTTTCATGACACGGTATACAATAAGATGCAAATTAAAAAAAAAACAT